AGACACCGACAACCAGCTGACTGCTGACATCCTGCAACTCTAGCCTGAATGGACAGCAGATTCGATCTATCTATCATCTATCTATCTATCTATCTATCTATCTATCTATCTATCTATCTATCATCTATCACATTTATAACCCACCTTTCCTCCAAGGAGCTCAAGGTGGCGCCTATGGTTCTCCTCTCCTCCTGGTTCTTCTTACAACAACCCTGTGAGGTAGGTTAGGCTGAGAGACAGTGACTGGCCCAAGATCACCTAGCAAGTATCATCATGACCAAGTGGGAATTTGAACCCTAGTCTCCCAGGTCCTCATCCATCACTATAACCACACTGGCTCTCAGTCAGGGGTGTCAACTTGAATAAAATATTGAGGGGCCTAGGTAAGCCCAACGCTGCATAATCAATCACAAGACACATTGTTCACACACCATTTGAATAGCAGTGCCCATCAACTTTGGGGGCCCCCATTCCCTTCAAATTTTTTTTTTGGGGGGGGAGCAAAGGGACCTCGGCCCTTAGGAGTTGGCTCCTATGCTCTCAGCGACTTGGGAGGAGCCCACCCAAATAACCAGTTCATTCGAATGCACTCGCGTTCTGACATTTTGCCATTCAGCATTGCACATTCTGAATCTGAGGGGTGATGCTGGAGATGGGGGAAATTCCCCTTGAGGGGGTGATGACACTGGGGAAATTTGGAGACCAGAGACTTAATTTGACCCACCTCTGAAAATCTCCATTGCCAACCCCCCCCCCTCTTTTGGTTGGGGCAGGGAGACAAGGCAGCTCTTACTCTCTCCAGAATGGTGTCTCTCAAGGGCTTAGGCTCTGCTAGGATTATAGTTGGCGAATCTGCTAGGGCTGAGCCTCTGAGCTTGTGTGTGTGTGTGTGTGTGTGTGTGTATGTAGAGCAGCGATTTATAATAGGATTGTTCTTTGCTGCGTAGCCATCTCTCTACACCCCCCCCCATCGCCCGGCACCACATCCATGCCTCCTGTGTAATGCACCAGCTTTTATTAGCTATTAGTCCTATTACTCATGTCTGTGACTTTATTTCATCCCGCCTCTTTCCCTTGCATTGTACTTGGCTTGCCTATAAAACGCCCCTGACTGAGATTCTGAAAAGGAGAAAAGGGATCAGAAAGCCCAAAGTGGGCACCGTGGGGAGTAGGGGCAGCGAAGCCCATTAGCAGTGCTGTTTTCCAGGATCCCTCCCACAAGTCTGCCAGAAATTCAGATTATTTTTAAAACGGTGGCTGTGGATTGGAGGGGGGTTAATTGTTTTTCCCAGCCCATGGTTTCTTTCTTCTTCTTAAAAAAAACCCAAAAAACCCCAACAAGCTCCGGGACTCAGGTCGGCCTTTAGGTCAGGCCCTCTCATCTCATTTTGGTTCCTCAGTCAAGAGATGAAAGTGGCAGGGAGTCTGGCTGCACCACGAGATAGACAGATCCATCAGTTTAGCTTATGCATTTCTCCAGTCTTAAACATTTCGTGGAAATTCATCAGCATCCATTCACATTTCCCTTAATATACATGTTCATACACAGTCTTGCCTAACATATACTATAAAGATATGTAAGGCATTTCCTCTGAATGCATTTCTGTACAGTGGTACCTCGGGTTACAGACTCTTCAGCTTACAGACGCTTCAGGTTACAGACTCCGCTAACCCAGAAATAGTACCTCAGGTTAAGAACTTTGCTTCAGGATGAGAACAGAAATTGCGTGGTGGCAGCGGGAGGCCCCATTAGCTAAAGAGGTACCTCAGGTTAAGAACAGTTTCAGGTTAAGAACGGACCTCCAGAACGAATTAAGTTCTTAACATGAGGTACCACTGTATAGCATTTTCTTATTATGATCACCATAGTCATTATTTATTGTGTTTCTTAAAGATTTCGTTGAAGGTGCTGAGATTTCTTAGGAGATCCCTCTATTCCCCTCACAGAGCTGCCATTCCCAAATAAGTTTAACAGCCGTTCTCTTTTCCCAGGAAATTCTGGGAATTGTAGTTCCATGAGAGGAACAGGCAGTGCTTTTTTCTGGGGGGATGCAGGGGTACGCATGCCCCCAAACATTTTGTGAATCTAAGCAGTATTTCAATATGAATAGGAAAACGAGAGTACCCCTAAACATGTTTTTAAATAAAAAAAGCACTGGAAATAGGGGTCTCATAACTCTCAGCACCCTTAATGAGCTCCAGCTCCCAGAATCCTTTGGGGGAAGTCATGACTGTTCAAAGTGGTATCATGGAGCCTTCAATGTATGGTGCAAATGTGGCCTATGTCTACTCTGGGAAGGATGAACACAAGAAATGACTTTGAGGGCACAATCTTATCCCCATTTGCCACACACACACACACACACACACACACACACAGTCTGAGGTGGAAGGTGAGAGGGTGGGTATGTTGATGTGCCATCAGGCCTGGATTGGGCGTGATGACATTGGTGGGGCTGGCGTGGGAGTCAATGGGATTCTGGGCCAGCTCAGTCCCTCCCACCATCAACCACCAGAATGTCTTACTTGGGGCTCCCTATTGGTGGGGATCTTGCACGTGGGTACTTCTACCTGCCCATGTATTTGGTAGGAACCACAGGGAGGTCTGAGCTGGCATTGTGACGTTGGCATCAAAGGCAAGGGGTGAATTCAAGCTAGCACCAAGCAGATTGCTCCATCTAGAAGAAATGCTTGTCGAATGGAATGATCTACCTTCTCCCCCCACAACACATTGCACTGTGGGTTCTCTTGATCTCTCCCAAGCCAATTTAGGGGGTGTCAGGGCAAAGAAGAGGGGGGAAGCTCTGTTGCCCTATCAGGTCCTTGTGTGGGCTTCCACTGGTGCAAGCAGTTAACTTAATCTGGCCCACTGGTCAGTTGGAGTAGGTGGGAAACATCTCCACACAATCTACCATGCCTGGTGCAAATTGTGGTTTGGACTGCACCTCCAAATCTCTCCCTTGACTTTTCACAATTTGCCAGGTGGTTTTGGGCAGGTGCACATGGGAATATATTTAGGTTCCTCCTTTTTCGTCCTCTCACAGGCTTTGAAGCATCAAGCAGAGAGGATCCCAGTTCCCGGAGGAAATGTGTTCTTGAGGAGAGAAGGCCTGGAGCCTGCTCAGTGACGTCCACCTAAGGGGAATGCATCCCAGCTTTTGAGAGGTAAGCTTCCAGGATGATGGGAAAAGGGTATTGCTCCAGGGATGTGGACTGTATCTCTGTGCTAGGAAGAGGATTGGTTTTCAAGTATAAAAAACCAATGAGAGTAACAGTGTGTTGCTTGAACTTCTGAATGCTTCTTTCTATAGAAAATGCACAACCAAAGCTGGGTTGGGTGGAAATATTTCTGTCTGACACTGGCAGAAGCTCAAACCGTGACTGCATTGCAGGGACCTGTTGCTTTTATCTAGGCAGCGTGGGAAATTTCACTCTTCCCACCTAGAAACAGTACAAAGGTAAATATGGTGTCTGTTGCTCCACCCATTTTTGCCTGCTAGCTCCTCCTACCACTGACATGTGGGCCTCAGAAGGTCGCACAGAGGGAAATGTGATCCTCAGGGTGAAAAAGGTTCCTCACCCCGGTGTACTGTTTTGGGGGAAGTGAATTAGGTAGGCCCACATGAAAGAGGTTAACATCTGGTTACCGCAGCAGCCATTTTCTCTGAGATCCACCACAGAGCTTCAGAAACAGAGTATCAGCTGAAACATCTGAAGTGTGGGGGGCATATCAGTGTCTTTGCTCCTCCCTAGTAGATCTTGTATGTTTCGTTTCATTTTTTAAATTATTTTAAGCCACTTTGGGGGCTCCAGTTGGTATACACAGCTTAGAAGGTAAAGGTAAAGGACCCCTAACAGTTAAGTCCACTCAAAGGCGACTCTGGGGTTGTGGTGCACATCTCGCTTTACAGGCCTAGGGAGCTGGCATTTGTCCGCAGACAGTTTTCCGAGTCATGTGGCCAGCATGACTAAACCACTGCAGCAGGACACCGTGGTGGAAACCAGAGCGCACAGAAACACCATTTACCCTCCCGCCGCAGCGTTATCTATTTATCTACTTGCACTGGCATGCTTTCGAACTGCTAGGTTGGCAGAAGCTGGGACCGAGCAGCGGGAGCTCACCTGGGGATTCAAACTGCTGACCTTCTGATCAGCAAGCCCAAGAGGCTCAGTGGCTTAGACCACAGTGCCACCCACATCCCAGCTTAGAAATGCTCTAAATAAATGAGGGAGTCTGTAAGTAGTCCTGTCAAGAGTGCTACAAAGTGCAACACAAAGCGGTTGTGAGGTCGACCTGCAATTATGTGAGTGAAGGGAAACACTCCTAATGATGCGCAGTCTACAATAACACTGGCCACTGCCTGCCTGCTAGCTGGACTCTACTGGCTCAGAATGTTCTAGGGTGCCAAAGAATGTTCACAAACATTCCAACTTCTGAGTGACATTGAAGATCAAGTCGGCTCCTGTGAGGGAAATGGGAAAGCAAGTTGGACTGAGGGAGGAAAAGAAAGGAACTCAGAGCATCAGGGAATGTTCACAAACATCCCAGCGGTCGAATGACTATTTCAGGATGTCAGAAATCAGGGAAATGGAAGGTCAGTTGGGCCGAGGGAGAAAAACAAGCAAACTCGCAGAGCTTTGAGGTGTGGGCTTTGGGAGCAGAAGCAAAGGATCAGAGGCTTTGAGGAGTCAGGAATGAGAGACAGGTGATGAAAACTCGCATTGGATAAGGGGGACCGTATCCTCTTGTCTGCAGAGGGAGCTATAGTGGTGGGTGTGTGGTGGAGCTGTGGGGCTGCCCTCCTTACTTGGCTGCTGCTGCTGGGGTTGGACATGGCAGTGGGGAGATCAGGGCTTCCTCAGAGCTGCCCCGCCATAATCCCAGAGCCGTCTAGGTAGGCTGCAGTGATGCCAGTGCTGGGACAGCTCCAGAGCTCTGCACCAGCACACTGGCCGCTACTGAAAGGTAGGTTCAGCAGTCACAACAACAGCAACAACAACTGGCTTCAGGTCTCTCTCTTTTTAAATAAACCAATTAAAAATAACAAGGACCCAAAATGTGCTAAGTAAGGTTCGCCACTGGGCAGGGTTCAAAGCTGTCTTCCTCCTGCTCCTCCGCCTCAAAGGCCAATCCCCGGTGGAAGACAGCCAGGATGTTTTTTCTCGGGACATTGAGCGGAATGCAGCCAAAGCCAAACGCCCCATAGTGGGGGTCAGGTAAAGTTGCCCCACACTGGACCCAGTTCTGCTGGCCTGGCTCCCAGTAATGGATCGCGCTGGAATAGCGGTCGTTGCTGTCGCCCCCGAAGACATACACCCTCTTCCTCCAGCAGACGACGCCCGGGTAAGAGATGGCGATGGGGAGGAGAGGGATGGAGAGTTCTTGGTTCACCGTGCCATCGCTCAACAGGCAGACGCAACGGCCGGTGAAGTACCGGGAGCCTTCGTTGCCCTCCCCGGAAAGCCCCCCGACCACAAATATGCAATTGCCCAAGGTGACAGCGCTGGCCTCGTAGAATTCAAAGGCCATGGGGACCTGGGACCAGGCGCCGGATTTGATGTCGTAAACCAGGAACCCCTTGTGAGGGACGGGGAGTTCGGCGTCATCCCTTTCCCCGCCGATGAGGTACAGTTTGCTCTTGAGTGTCACAGAGGCGAAATAAGTCAAGGCAAAGGGGAGGCTGGAGATGTCCGTCCACTCCTCGCGCTCCAAGTCGTAGCTCTCGGCGCACACAAGAGTCCCGGTGCTGTCCCAGCCCCCGGCAGCGTAGAGCCTTTTGTGGCATAGGAGGAAGGCATGCCACGCCCGGGCTGTGGTCATGGGAGGCAGCTTGGACCAGTGGCCCCCAAGCGTGTCGTACAGCAGGAGGTTATTGGAGTAGGAGCCATCTAAATGCTGCCCGCCGGTGATGTAGAGCTTGTGGCCCAGAGACACGCAGCTAGGCGAGGTCAGTGATTTCAGGTCGGGAAGCTGCTCCCACTGCTCGGTGGACGGGTCGAAGAAGTGGACATGAGAATCCAGCTCCTCGTCCCCCAGGCTCATCTTGCTCCATTTGGGGAGCCCCACGCACACAACGCCCTTGTGGTACATGCCTTGCCGTAGGCCTCTGCTGGCCCACAGCCGTTCAGGGACGCTGAGTTCCTCCCACGGCAGTCGGACGCACTCATAAAACTCTTCTGTCTCGGCCCGGACCTCGGCCAGTTCCTCAGGGCTCAGGAGAGAGAGGCGGATGTGGTCCATCAGGGCCGCGTGCTTCAGGAGGCGCTCGTCAGGGTTGTGGTACACCCAGCGGCGCATGGCCCTGTAGATGGTCAGTTCGGAGTCCACCTCCAGGCCGTCCGAGGCAATTATGCTGACCAGGACGCTGAAGTCGAGGGCAAGGAAGGCTGTGAGCTCTATGAGGTGTTCGAAATGGAAGGCAATGTAGCGTGAGGCTGGGCGGAGGAGAGGCCGGTGGTTGTGGGAATATGCCAGCACGTAAAGACCCAGGCAGTTCTCCATGGAAATCCTCTCCATGAGGAATCTGCAAGGAGCAAAGGAGGAAAGACTTTTCTCATATATGGCATGATGGAGAGAAAATAGGTAGACTGGGACATGCTTTTCTCCCTCTTTCGTAATATCAGAACTTACAATATTAGAACATAGCAGAGCAATTCAAAGTGCTGCTTTGGACCTACAAAGCCTTGTGCCTCAGGGACTGCCTTTCTCCATATGAACTAACCTGAACCCTGCAACCATAATTTGAGGCCCTTCTTCATGTGCCCTTTCCATGGGATGGTGGCAACAGAAGAACAGCGCCTTTTCAGTGGTGGCTTCCTATTTGCGGAATGCTTTCTCCAGGGAGATGCCATCATTACATATCTTCAGGTGCCAGACAAAAACCTTCCTTTTTAAACAGGCCTTTGGCCTTTAACCCCTTAGATGGGATATTTTAATGTATCCCACCCCCTAGTCTTATGTATTGTTTTTGTTGTAAGTCATTTTGTAAGCCACATTGATTTGCCATAGCAAAAAATAAGGAGACTGAAGAGAACACACTGGTTCTGAACTGGCTGTGCAACCCCACAGGGATGTGTCTTTAGATCAGGAATGGCAAAGTTGTGGCCTTCCAGCTCTCTGGACTCCATCAGTGGTCAGGAGTGAAGGGGAATTGTAGTCTGGAAACATGTGAAGGGCCACAGTTTCCCCTTCCCTGTTTTTGATGCACTGACCCACCCCTTCCTTATTACCTGGTGATGATTTCCAACGCGGACATGATTTGAAGCCTGCTGGCTGCTGTGAACAGCTCTTCTACGTCTTCAGAGAGGAGCAGCAGCTCCCCTGTATAGATATAATCCAGGAGCCTCTGGAGGGAGGAGGCAGTCAAATCCATCAGCACAATTTCGCCCTCCCGGGATTCCTTGAAGGTGCTGGTGAACATTCGCTGGAAGTAGAGGCTGATGGAAGCCAAGAGTGTTCTGGAGGGAAAGAGGAGAGATGCGCTAGGATGCATCACACACAGAGAAGAGGCGATAGAGAAGATGCTTTGCACCTGGGCTGATTCTACCATTAGAAAGAGTGAGGCAGCTGCTTCAGGCAGGAGTTGCTGAGGTGGTGGCGGCAGGGATTGACAGCAAGGATTTGAAGGGCAGGGCATTTGTGTCATGTGTCCTCCCCTCTGGTCCTGACCTAGCCAGCCACTAAGGATGCTGTCCCATCAGTATGTATGAGAGTAAGAAGCTTCAACTTCCGGTCTGGTTAGCTTTCATTCATGCAATGGGGTGGAGGGATCCTGCCTGCTTCAGGCAGCAAAATGTCTTGAGCAGGCATGCAGACCGTCTGGGCCAAATCCCCAGCATCTGTGGTTAAAAGGAGCTTAAGGAGCAGAGTGAGGAAAGAGGCTGACGTGCAGCTGCCTGCCAGTACGCCCCCAGCCAGATGGAAGAGCGATCTGGCTCTGTTTCTAAGGAGGTTTTGCATACTAGGGAAGCACAGTGCAACCTCGCTTCTCTGGACCTCACTCAGTATATGGCAGCTCTCGGTAAGAAGGGCTGTAGCTCAGTGGTGGAGCAACTGCTTTACATGCAAAAGGCCCCAGATTCAATAGCCAACAACATCTCTGGTAGGGCTTGGAGAGCTCCCTGTCTGAAATCCCAGAGAGCCACTGCCAGTCAGTGTAGGCAATAGAAGGACATAAGAAGATGAGAAGAACCTGCTGGATCAGGCCCATCTAGTCAAGCATCCTGTGTTCACAGTGGCCAAGCAGATGCCTGTAGGAAACCCGCAAGCAGGACCCAAGCATGAGAACTCCCAACCCCATGGCTTCGAGCATTTAGCATTTCTGACTCTGACTGTGGAGTCAGGGCATAGCCATTGTGGCTTTTGGACATCAATAACCCTCTCCTCCTCCATGCATTTGTCCAGTCCTTTGTTAAAGCTATCCAAATAGGTGTCCATCACTGCCTCCTGTGGCAGGTAGTTCCATAGTTCCATAACACTGAGCGGGATTGATAAATGGTCTGACACAGCATAGGGCAGCTTCCAATTTTCTGACCCCGCCTTGACGCAGGTCAAATCCACTTTCTGTGTCTCTCAGCCAAAGTAACTTTGCACTTCTTCTCCTAGAATACCTCAGCATATACTCCTACCGTCATACCTCGGGTTACAGATGCTTCAGGTTGCGTTTTTTTGGGTTGCGGACTGCCAAAAGTGCCAAAACGGGTTACTTCTGGGTTTTGGCGGTCGCGCATGTGCAGAAACGCTAAATCGCGCTTTGCGCATGTGCAGAAGCACCGAATCGCAACTCGTGCGTGCGCAGACGCACCACTGCGGGTTGTAGACGCTGCGGGTTGTGAACGTGCATGCCACATGGATCACATTCGCAACCCGAGCGTCCACTGTACTTGATAAATGGCCCCCGTCTTTTCCTTAAAGCCACTCCTGAGATGTCCCACCCCAGCAGAGCATGGCTTGGAGTACTGCTGGCTTCTTACCTGTGGCAAGGGAACTTTCTTCCTTCGGCCACCAGGGTGACATCACAGAGCAGTTGTGCCTGGTACAGCTGCCTGATACCTGCAGGGGTGAGAGGATGACATGAGGGGGTTAAAGGAGGCCAGTGAGCAGGTTTCGCTTCAACACACCAGGTGATAGTGCAAGTACATTAAAATGTTAAGCATGAGGTTGCCGGATCAGGCCACATGGCAATAAATAGCATAAAATGAAGAGGACAACAGGGCGGCACATAAAATTTGCATGTGCTAATTAATGCACCCAGCCCTTGCTAAAAGCAGGATTGAATTCCCCACGCATCAGCTGATGTGTGGGGAACTCAAACCAGCTTGTTTGCTGTCTCCCCTGACACCAACTGTGACGGGTGGGAAGAAGCACCTGCCTGCCTATCACCTGACATCCTTGTGATGTCAGGTGACTGAGAGGCAGCGGTCCTGCCCACCTGTCAAAGTTGGTGGATAGGGGATGGGATAGAGAGAGATGAAGATCTGAACCACTGGAGGAAAAAGGTTCCCCTTCTCTGCCCTAGAACATAAGAAGCAATGAAAAAAGAACAGAATGTTTCAAGGAAAAGGTACAGTGTTCCTTTCCTTTATAGTTGGGCACCTATAGGAAGCTACAAAACGTTTAAGATTAGGAGGAAAGGATTCTAGGCAAACTTGCTTTCCCAGCGAGCATTGATAGTGGGGATGCTCCAGCACAGGACTCCTGCAGCCAACCTGGTTCTGCTTGCTTGTCATGCAAAATCGAACACACAGGGATAGGGAAAGTCCCTGCCAAGCCTTTAATTTATTTACTACTTATTTTGTAACATTTATAAACCACTTGATTGTATTTTTAAAAACACCTCTTAAAGTGGTTTTTAGAAAAGATGAAACCATAACATTACCAATAAGAAAACAGAACAACAATTGAAGACTTCCAACAAATTAAAAATAACAGGTTAAAAACAGATTAAAACTGGGATCAACTTTCTAAGCATGTGGACAGGCTTGCCTAAGCAAAAATGTATTTAGCAGGGGGCCAAAAGAGTACCGAAAAGAAATCTATGCTTCTTGAAAAGAAACAGTCACGAATATTTCAGCATTCAGCTTCGCTGCCTGTCCTTGAGTTCTACCATTTTCAGAAAGGGATACAGACTTTTCTCTATCCACTTTCTCGGGTGCAGTGGAAAGGCACCCATGAGGGTCCAGTTCTGGGAGCCCTGGTGCTGCGAGATCTGATTCAGGGGCCTCCTGCTGGCAGCCAGCTTCAGGTTTGGCGAACCCTCCAACTGGCAGCATTGGGGAGCATAGGAGCCAACTCCTAGGGGCCGAGGGAGGTTCAGCTCCTCCAATAAAATATTTGAATGGCCGCCACCATAAAAGTTGATGGCCATTGCCGTTCAAATGGTTTGCGTGCACTGTGTCATGTGATTGGTTATGTGGGACGGGGCTTATTCCCCCCCCCAAAAAATATACTTTATTCAAGTTGGCACCCCTGTTAGGAAGCCACTCTGGCTCCTTAGCCTGCAGTTCTGTAGCTTCTGACTCAGTGTCCCAGTCACAAATGGACTCCAAGGTCGTCACACTTACCCTGCTTGATGATGTGTTTCAAAGACAGTAGGTCACTTTGGGGGTCATCTGACCCCAATTCTTTCTCCCTCGGAGCCTCTGTAGTCTTAGCCATTGGGGATGTCTGGCAAGGAAAGCTGTTATCCCCATGAACAAAGATACGGAATGTTAGGTCCGTAATGTTGGGGTTATTCAAAGGGGTGAATTCATTTCAACCTATTCACACAGACCTAAAAATGCAACCTTTAAAACACAGGATCATAGAGTTGGATGGGACCTCAAAGGTTCTTCCTCTTGTTGTTCTGCTACTAATTATAATTGCATTTTTTATTTTTTTAAATTTTTATTGATTTTAACATATAAATTATAAAATGCACCACAAAACTTATCATTTATACAATCTGTTTAGACTTCCATCAGCACCTCTGATGATCCACCTTTTTAACCACTTCTTATGCATTTCTTAACTTTATATTGCCTTTACATCTCTTAACAAATCATCCTTCCCCTTCTCCATTTTTGCAATACTTCCAATAATACTCCTCACAAAACTTCTTGCAAACCTACAAACGTCGTCTGATCTTCACAAATACTTTTCAAGTAGTCCGTAAATTTACTCCAGTCTTCCGTGAATTTCTGGTCCCGCCGGTTTCGAATCCTTCCTGTTAGTTTATCTAATTCTGCATAGTCCATTAACTTCATCCTCCATTCTTCAATCATCGATAATTCTTCTTGCTTCCATTTTTGGGCCAGTAATATTCTTGCTGCTGTTATTGCATATAAAAAGAGCTTACATTCCTTTCTATTTATATCACTCCCCACAATGCCGAGTAAAAATGCTTCTGGTTTCTTTATGAATGTATATTTCAACATTTTTTTCATCTCATTATATATCATCTCCCAGAAGCATTTCACCTTTTTACATTCCCACCACATGTGATAAAATGTTCCCTCTTTTTCTTTACATTTCCAATAATAATTGCATTTATTGGTCATCTTTCCCCCCGAAGAAGCTCAAGAAGCTGACATGGTCCTTCCACCCCTCCTCATTGAATCGCCACAACAACCCTGTGAGGTAGGCTAGTCTTGAGAGGCCGTGACTGGCCCAAGGTCACCCAGTGAGCTTCATGTTCAAGTGGAGGGATTTGAATCTTGGTCTCCCAGGTCGTAGTCTGACACTCTCACCACTACACCACACGGGCTCTCTAGGAAGCTGCCTTATATTGACCAGACCACTGGCCCATTTAGCTTAGTATTGTCTCCACTGACTGGCAGCAGCTCACTATGGTTTCAGCCCTACCCAGAGTTTCCAGGGATTCAGCCTGGGTTCATCTGATGCAGATAAGGTGCTCTACCACTAAGCTATGGGTCATTTACCTAAGAATAAATCAAGATTTCAGTCCTCATGGTTCTGATGTAAATAGGAATGCAGGAAACTTCCTTATGCTGAGTCAAGTTTTGGTCTCTCTAGCTCAGTATTGTCTAGAGAGCCAGCATGGTTTAGTGGTTAAGAGCGGTGGACTCGTAATCTGGTGAACCGGGTTCGCTTCCCTGCTCCTCCGCATGCAGCTGCTGGGTGACCTTGGGCCAGTCACACTTCTCTGAAGCCTCTCAGCCCCACTCACCTCACAGAGTGTTTGTTGTGGGGGAGGAAGGGAAAGGAGACTCCTTAAGGGGAGTGAAAGGTGGGATATCAAGTCCAAACTCCTCCTCCTCCTCCTCCTCCTCCTCCTCCTCCTCCTCCTCCTCAGTGGTAATGGCTCTCTAGGGTTTCAGGCAGGGGAACATTTCTGACCTGACCTGGAGATATACCTGGGATTGAACCCTGGGACCCTCTGCATGAAAAGCAGATCCCCTAACCACTAAGCCATGTGGACCTTCTCATAGGAACCTGCCTTATACTGAGCCGGATCCAATTAATCTAACTCTTCAACATTTTCATTCATTCATTCATACACACACACACACACACACACACACACAGAGAGAGAGAGAGAGAGAGAGAGAGATGTATCTATGGGCTGTGTTTTCAGCACCGCTACACAAAGCAAAATAATAATGAAGTCAAGTTAAACCCAAGCAGCTGCATTGCTCTTGTTTAAAAAGCATAAAACAATCCAGAATCAGACAGCATTATTAACACATTTTCTAAGAGGTTTTTTTTAAAAAAGAAGATAGTCCCTGTCCATAAATATGCAATCCAGAGAAAAGGACAGGAAAGAGGAAATTAAGCTGAGGAGAGCCTTCACACTGAGAGGCAGTCTACCTTTATACTGCCCTTATCACCCCTATTTCAAGATGGGGAAGCTATGAGCCTGCAGGTGTCATTGGACTCCTCTCAGCAGCCCTGATAATTGAGCTTGCTGGCTGGGGATGGCATTGGTAGGGGTGAGAAACATCAGAGCTTTCTTCTTCTTCTTCTTCTTCTTCTTCTTCTTCTTCTTCTTCTTCTTCGCTGAGGTTGGATGGCCATCAGTCAAGGATTATTTAGTTGCGCTTCCTGCATTGCATAGGGTTCGAATAGATGACCCTTGGGGTCCCTGTCAACGCTACAATTCTATGAGTCTATGATTATAATCGATTTATTGATTTCCCACCTTTAACCATAAGGCCCTGGGGTGGATTGCAGCATTAAAACACAGTGTTAGAAACAATTCAAAACAACTTAAAACCATACAAACAAGGCGGGTCCTAAAAAACATACGGTACATCTCAAGTGTCAAACGATCAGGGCAAAGAAGTACAATGTCAGCATTCTCCAAAAACTGTATAATGAAGGTGTCCAGAAGCACCTCTGTGGGGAGGGAGTTCCACATCTTAGGGGCCACCACAGAGAAGGCCCTCTCCCCTTGGGCCACCCCTCGCTGAGGGTGGAGGAAATTTGTCTATAGGGAAGGAGGTAACCTTTCAGATATTTCAAATGTTCCCCACTGACCCCTCCCCCCCAAATGGTTTCTTAAGCTGAATTAAGTATTTGTGTAGTAGGATTAGAAAAAATAATCATATTGTGCTATCAACATACATGATACATCACAAAGCAATGCCAAAAACTGGCAGGGTCCTTCGCTCCAAGGAGCCTAAAATTTGTGCTTTAATTGGTGGGCAGGAAGCAACTGAGGAGGGAAGGGAGAGAAGGTAAGAAAGAGGTGGTCAAATGCAGACAGACTGTAGGCAATGAGGACCACCATACCTGGGCCAGGGGGAGGAGTCAACAAACCCATGGGGGAGAGAGCTAGACAGGTGAGCTGAGGAGAGCTACCTCACAGGAGTGATGAGGAAGCATCATCTCAGTTGCCTGGGTAACCAGGATTCAGTGGGCTGGGGACACATTGGCCTGGTTGCCATGGTGACAAGGGCACAGATACCTTCTACCTTTAGGCCCAGCAGAAGTGAGAGCCTTGGGTGACACCCACACTGCACAATATCTCTTCCCAGAGCAACAGTTTCCAGCTCCTCGTGGGAAGAACCATGTGCTTTAAATGTGTGCTAAAGGGTGTGGATGTGACCTTTAGGGATCTCAAGTGAGTTGTGAACATCATCGAAAAGGAAGCAGGCAATCAAAATCTATTTTAGGGCTGTGGGGGACAGACATTGAGCAACTTTAGCCTAGAGCAAATGAAACACATTAAGCTCCCTCACTCCTCACCAACCAGTACGGTTGGCAATTTACCTGGGTTTGTAGCAACAACAGGTGGAAGTGTAAACCATTACATCTTCTAGGATCACTTGGAAGAGCCAGCGTGGTCTAATAGTTAAAGTTTTGGGGTTTTGACCTGGGAGACCAGGGTCCGAATTCCCTCCTGGCCATGAAGCTCCCTTACTGACCTTGGGACAGCCACTACCTCTCAATATAGACCAGTGTTTTCCAAACTTACAATAGCTGCAAACCCTTTTTGAGAGTCCAGTCTTTATGGTGTACCCTACTTCGTGTGCAAAGGTGATGGGGGGGTAGTTTTAATAAAACTATTTTATCTAGAATAAAGTAAAATTTGAAAAGATGTTGTGTACCTTTTGAAACCCTTTCACATACCCCCAGGTATGTTTCCCACACTTTGGGAAACACAGCACTAAGGTGAAATAAAAATGCATACATTCATAGAGATGATGTAGAGAATTTGCATTATATTAGAGGGAATTGCTTGTTAGAGAAGACTGCATACAACAATGTACATATTAGGAGAAATTCACACAGAAGGGCTGATGAATTTTCATGAGATCTTGTGTTTTTGTTTTTAAATCACCAACTGATGTGGAGAACTGAATATTGCAAAAATAAATAAAAATGAGACGCCTAGAGGACTCAAAATTGTCCAATAGTGCCCCTCCTTCCCTGTCAAACATGAAAAGCAAACCAAACACAATGCTGCTTTAAAAAAGAAAAAAACCCATATCATTGTTGGGCACCAAAAATCAATGGGCGTCCATTACAAATGTGAGCTACTGAATGAAGATCCAGTAAATGTGCAAACATTCAGAGAATACCTAGTGAACAGTCAAGGTCAACCTTTGCAGAGGAGAATGCAAGGGGACGGGGATGTGTTATGACTTCTAGAAGAGGGCGTCTGTTTCCAGCACATTTTCAGGCATGCCTGAGTGAGACGGCTGTTTTCATACAGACGCGGTGCTCCACCTCTCCTCCAGTAATTCCTGCACAATCATTCTTATCTCCTGCCGAATCCACCTCCATTAAGTGGCTGATTGCTTAATTATAAGCCTCTATTCTGCCCTCATTCCCTTCTGTTCCTCACTAGCAGCCGGCAACCGTCTCTAGTCAATTCCACGGCCAACAGGGTTAGACAGCTGTATTTATATTTCTGCTTGGTGTTTGAGCGCTCCTTCAGAATTAGCTGAAAAGCACTCCCGGGCTGTGTTGTGCCACAAATGCCCACTGCCGGTAATATGGCATCGACGTGGGCGGAATTGCCAATGTAGGCACGAGGCAGTCCCTTGCAAGGGGAGCGAGGAATCTTGTTCAGCCTGAAGACCATATTCCAACTAGAAGGAGGTTGTTGTTGTTGTTTAGTTGTTTAGTCATGTCCGACTCTTTGTGACCCTATGGACCAGAGCACGCCAGGCACTCCTGCCTTCCACTGCCTCCCGCAGTTTGGTCAAACTCAAGTTCGTAGCTTCGAGAACACTGTCCAACCATCTCGTCCTCTGTCATCCCCTTCTCCTTCTGCCCCCCATCTTTCCCAACATCAGGGTCTTTTCTAGGGAGTCTTCTCTTCTCATGAGGTGGCCAAAGTACTGGAGCCTCAGCTTCAGGATCTGTCCTTCCAGTGAGCACTCAGGGCTGATTTCCTTCAGAATGGATAGGTTTGATCTTCTTGCAATCCATGGGACTCTTGAGTCTCCTCCAGCACCATAATTCAAAAGCATCAATTCTTTGGCGATCAGCCTTCTTTATGGTCCAGGCTACTCCAAATATCCCATAGAATTGAAGAGTTGGAAGGGACCCTGAGGAATGAAGGAATCCCAGCTACAGAAGCCCTGACAGATGGCCACCCATCCAACCTCTGGTTAAACACTCCTAACCCTCATAAAGTTCTTCCTAACGGGCCGCCTCATTCATGGGCCAACTTTGCTGAGTCATGTCACAGGGGTGGATCCTGGCGATGGAGGTTAATTGGGAGGAGGGAACAGAGGAGAGCAGGACAGCTCAGTGTGTCTATCCTGTAATTTGCAACCAGCACCTGCCAGGTTGAAGCTTGCAGCTTTCGTATTAATATTTTTTTTTAATGATTAACCCCGACAAAAGAACAGCGGCAAGAGAAATTGATGGACCATGCGGAATTGGCAAAATTGACGTACAAACTGCGCAATAAGGACCACTGTGACTTCAAAGAATAATGGGAACCTTTTACAAAGTACTTAAAGAAACAACAAAATGAATTGGGCTCCTTGGCAGGTTTTGAATAAACAGACACAAATTTATTTGTTAATATAATAGACGGATAACTTAGAGATTTTTACATTTTTAGAACATGCAGAGAATAATATGTGTTAATAAATCAGAAAGAGAAACTGAGGGAAATTGTAGGGGGGAGGGGTATGTGGGGGAGATGGGAGGGGGAAAATACAATTGATGAAATAATTTGTTATGTGAAAATAGTCAATAATTTTTTTTAAAAAAAAATATTTTTTGAAATTATTATTAAAGGGACTCTCCCTCACCTGGAGATTCCAGCCCTCCCGCTGCCACCTGCAGCGGACCAGGCAAACCTGGAGACTATTAGTAGCGTAGTGCTGTATTTGCCTTAGCAGAACAGTCCAGCTATAAAGGCTTCCCGGCTGGGGCTTAGAACTTTGCCTGCACAGTCTCTTTGCCCACCTGCATTCACACAGCAGTTTATTCCATCTCCCCGGCGATTCCCTACCTGTTTATTTCTGCATTATTCTTCTTTGGCGATCACTCGTAGCCGAGTAAGATTGTTTTCCATAAACACGGTTTTAACAATGAGTCCGTAAGTGACTGTGGAGGCCAATTCTGGATCCATGTGTCCTTCCACAGAGGGGACATTGGGTTCCGGGAGGGAGTTGATTGAGCTTTCACTCTACAGAATAGCGACTTCCAGCAATATAGCAGAATATGGCACAAGTTTAGCGCTCGTTTCCACATCACTGCTTCCAGAAACAATCCATTTGCAAGTAGCATGGGAATGAATGCTAAACCTGGGCTATATTCTGCTGGGTATTCCGGGAACTGGCTTTTAAGTTGTGTGAAAATGCAAACATAATGCAGACACTCACAGGTACGGAAACAGAATAAACCGCTCGTAGGAAAATAGGACCTTTCTTTACACTAAGTCAGACCAACTCGAGGACATCCAGTGAAGGTCGGAAGATTCAGGGGACAAATAAAAGAAAGGACTTCTTCGTGCAGCACGTACAGCAGTTGAACTATGGAACTCACCCCTCCAGGAGAAAATGAGGACAACCAACTTGGATGCCTTTAAGAGAGGACTGGACAAATTCATGGCGGAGAGGGCAGCTGATGGCTACTAGCCATGATGGCTAAGCTCTGCCTCTACAGTCAGAGGCAGCAATACTTCGGAATACCCATTGCTAGAAACTGCAGGAGGGGAGAATGTGCTTGTGCTCGAATCCTGCTTGTGGGTTTCCCCTTGCAGCATCTGGCAGATTTAGGGCCGCATGTCTGGTTCCCCCACACCGGGCGTTGAGCCAAGGGGGTGCTGCAAGGCGCCACAACTATGACGTAGTGCAGGGGTCAGCAAACTTTTCCAGCAGGGGACTGGTCCACTGTCCCTCAGACCTTGTGGGGGGCCGGACTATATTTTGAAAAAATAAATAAATGGTGCAAGAGCACCATGAGCCCCAGTGGCTGCTTACCTGTGTCTTGCGAGCGGCAGGGGCTGGCAGCGGCGGCGGCAGGATGATGAGCGGTGTGCGAAAGGGCTTTGGAGAGGGGCTGCTTAAAATGGTCGCCGCTCAAGCACTGCTGCTGCTGGCACCAACAAAGCCCAGCCCCCTTCCTCCTCTAGGCAAGGCAGGGAGAAGCCAGGAGGAGGGAGGGAGGAGGCGGCGGTGGCGGTGCCATTTGTGAGAGAGGGAAAGAACATGAGATCCACGTGGCAATTCCCAGACCGTCCACGGGCCGGATCCAGAAGGCAATTGGACCTGATCTGGCCCACGGGCCTTAGTTTGCTGACCCATGACGTAGTGCATGCACAGAACGGAAGGTGCTGGATTTTGGCTCTGCTGAAATTTGGAAGGCCAAAGTCCACTCCTTCACCTGTTTGGCCGCTGTGAGAACAGGATGCTGGACAAGATGGGCCATTGGTCTGATCCAGCAGGGCTCTTCCTATGTTCAGCGGAATCATTTATCTCAGTATCGTCCACACTGATCAGGAGCGGCTCCCCAGGATGTCAGGCACCCTTTTCTCCTAGCCTTACCTGGAGATGCCTTGCAAAGCAGATGCTCTATCCCTGAGCTAAGCCCTTCCTTCCTCTTGCCAAAGCCCACCCTGTCAAAAGCTACCAATCTGCAGGGAAGTGGGGGGGGGGGGAGCTACAGAGCAATGTTCCAGATTAAAAATAGAACCGGGGGTGGTGGTGGTGGTAGTTATATTCTCAGATCCTCTTTCCCTCGCAAGCCACACACTGTTTGGGTCACTCCTTTCCCGCCTAATTGGTGTTTTTCATCGCGTTCAAAGCCGCCAGTCCCTCTGGTGCATATGCTTATTTATTGGGCTTTTCTCTTCTCCCGCTCTCTCTCGCTCTCTCCCGCACCCCAGTGCTGCCGCCAATACTTTTGCACGCAGGAAGATGGAGCTGGCAAATTAGCATCTTGATTGTGCAAAAGCAGAAGAGGAGGAAAATGAGGCAACTTGTCTTTTGCAGAGTCCAGAGCGGTGTGTGTGTTTGTGTGTGTGTGTGTGTGTGTGTGTGTGTGTGTGTGCACCATGCATGAGGAAGATACAAGCAATTACGCTGCCCCTAATAAGAGGCTCATCAAACGCCAGGGCAAACTCCCCCGGGGTATCCCAGCTGCTTGCACTTTCAAGCCAGGACTGGCATTAAATATTCTGATATCTGGACAGGAATCCTGATCAAGGTCTGGGAACTGGGGAGAGAAAACACACACACCCCAGCCTAATTTTCCTCTGATTAGGAGCTGCTCCACTTGCTCAAGTCCTTTAATCAGCAATGCCGTGGCTGGCCACTGCGGTGGGAGACATGCCGCCAATCCAGCCACTACAGTCTGGCTGCAGAATAAGAGGCTGTGCCAGTGGTGAAAGGATGGGGACTAGCAGCCTCAGGGCCCAGTAGAACCTCAGTGGAGCCTCAGGTCTCAATGGAGCCCTCAGAGGACCCTCAGGCTTTGGTGGAGCCTCAATGGAACTTCAGGCCTCAATGGAGCCTTGGTGGATCTCAGGCCTCAATGGGGCTTCAGTAGAACCTCAGGCTCCTCAGTGGTGAAGTTGGGTTATTTTATGCTCCAGACTGAATGGGCTGGTGAAAGGCAGGGATGAGGAACCTCAGGCCCAAGTGCCACATGTGGTCCTCTAGGCTTTTCTGCCTGGCCCTTGGGACTCCTCATATCACACACCCTTCTTCTCCAGATGTTTCCCTGTTTATTTATTTACATCACCTGTACCTCTCCTTTTAGTCAAAAAGGCTCTCAGAGCAGCTTATGAAAAGGAATCCTAAGGCACTCCCCTGCCCACTGGCTCACAATCTTAAAAAAAAGGGACAAGTCACACAAGAAAAAAGGAGGAGGAGGGAGGAGGGGAAAGTGAGCCTCCTGGGAAACTTCTCTGGTCCCTGGCATGCTGCTCTCCCAGAGCCTCTGAGTAAGAGAGCAACTGGCCTTCCGCTTAGCTCCTGCTGTGTTTTAGGATGCAGAAAGAAACATGTTTTTTCTTTCTCCCTTTCCTCAATCTCAACAGGGTCTACAGAAGGGCCCACCCCCAAATACACACCCGGCATTCATGGCTCTCTACAACAACGGTGCCAGGATGCCTTCTCCACAGGAGGCCTCCAACGGCTTCCCCCAGGCGGGGGCCTCGGGCACATGGCACAAGCCAGAGGACGAGGTGAGGCTGGTGGAGGCCGGTTTGGTGAAGAAGGCTCACCGGGAGATCCTGGACCACGAGAGGAAGCGGCGGGTGGAGCTGAAATGCATGGAGTTGCAGGAGATGATGGAGGAGCAAGGGTGAGCGCAGCATTCATTTACTATGCATTTACTACTACTACTACTACTACTACCGCCACCACCACTACATTTATATCCCATCTTTCCTCCATGGAGCTCAAAGTGGCATGTATAGTTCTCCTCCTAACAGCCCTGTGAGGTAGGCTAGGCTAAGAGTGAACGCCGGGCCCAAGGTCACCCAGTGAGCTTCATGGCTGAATGTGGATTTGAACCCTGGTCTCTACCAGGTCCTTGTCCAGCACTCTAACCACTATGTTACTGCTGGCTGCTGCTGCTATTATTATTATTATTCCAATTCTATTTATTGACTTAGTTTAGAACATTTGTAAACCTCTTAACGTTTTGAAAACCTCTAATATAAAAGCAAACAATAATCTCAAAGCAAAAATACAACCCAAGACCGGTAAAACAGCAGCACAAAAGCATATCATTCTAATTATCGCCGTCAACACCAGTGTTGTGAGATGTGCACCTGAACCCACACTTGCGCACATTCAATGCACAGCTCTGAGACAATTGGAATCATTTTGCTAGAGTCAGGACGTGCCTCCGTTCTGAATATGGGCTACAATAGGAGAGAGTATAAAACCACCAGCCTCTGCTTGTCCTGTCTCCTTCTGGCTTACAGTTCCAGGGGAGGCCAAGTGGACACCAGGCCAGCTGGCAAGGACCAGACCCCGGGGGGCACTCGGAAGCCTGTGCTTGCTGGGACTGGCTGGGGACCTGCAATTGCCCCAGTGACATTTGAGGGCCGGCCAGCCTGAACCTCTTATTCACCCCACCTGCTCTGAGGAGTTGACTGCTCTTTTGCCCTGTTCTGCAATGGCTAATTTCTGCTTTGCGGAGGTGATGAATTGGAGAAATGTCTTAGTTGGAGGAGTCCTGATAGGGCAACATCTTGTGGCCTGGATGGTGAGTTTGGTGCCGTGTGAGCAAGTTCAGGCCCCGGTAAACATTTTTGGGAGGCCTCTCAACAAGGGCCAACCGGTTAAAAATCTTTACACATTTATCTTTATAAACGTGCAGTCTTACTTTTGTTAATAAGAAATATGATGTTTGCACCTGTTGACAATATTGCAATCCAGTGACTAATAACAATAATCTAAGCACCAGCATGATCGTCGCTGAACTAACCACAGTGGTATTATGTGTATCGCACAACCTGCAAACGTGATTGTGTATAACAAGTTGAGGCTGAGCTGTCATACTGTCAATGTGCAAGAGCGAATATTTGTAGAGACTTGGAAATACTCAGAAATGTTCGGCTCACAGCATAAGTTCGCAGGCTGCTGTTCAGAGTTGTACATGTATTGAATATGAAGTGCATATTTTAAAAGAATTATAGATAGGTGACTCCCAACTTAAGCTGGGGTTACATTCTGGGCACCTGGGCACATCAGCGAAATGCACTTAAGTGGGGAGCCTCATCAGAGAGGGGAACTAGGGCGATTTAAGAGGCATTGGACACACATTTTTATTTTATACTGCACTTAAGTAGATAAATAGGTAGCCCTCCAGTGGGAAGGTAAACGGCATTTCCGTGTGCTGCTCTGGTTCGCCAGAAGTGGCTTAGTCATGCTGGCCACATGACCCGGAAGGTGTACGCCGGCTCCCTCAGCCAATAAAGCGAGATGAGCGCCGCAACCCCAGAGTTGGTCACGACTGGACCTAATGGTCAGGAGTCCCTTTACCTTTACTTTAAGGGCAGGCAACAGTGCAACCAAGCAATACAGTTTCCCGCCCAACAGCTGCTGAATGAGATACTGCAGCAGCAGTAAAAACTCTGTGCGCCATTTTGGAACCCACAGGTTCTTTTAAAAAAAAGCCTTTTAAACCTTCATTTCTGGACTTTTGGCTCACTGGCATCCTTTTAGGGCTCTGGGGAGAGTCTCATGAGCCACAAGGACTTTCCAGCTCTCTCTTGCCATTTCCAGATTTCAACTGATTGATTGATTGATTGATTGATTGATTGATTTCCAGGCGACCACGTATATACGACCACACGTAAGCGGCGAGATGCCTGTAAAACATACTCAAGATAGTTGGGTCCTGAGTCCCCTTCCAGACCACCAGGTCCCAGTAATTTCTACCAGCTCCCCTCCCCTCTCATCGCCCCGAGTGGTAATATCACCTGTCCCTCTAAGCCAGATAGAGGATTGTGTCCAGAGAATGCAACATCCTCGGCTGTAGTCTGAAGTGGTAATGGTGCTTAAATTTTGCATGCTTAAATTAGTCCCCTCCCTCTGTGTGTGTGTGTGTGTGTGTGTGTGTGTGTGTGTAATCACGGGAATAAGGTACGGTTTGATTGCTGGTAAAACATGCACGTCTGAGACGATATGGTCCCCCAAGGACTGGACCATCTGCCATTTTGATCATTCTCGAATCGCTCCCCGAATGCGTTTGAAGTGCTTGCCAACCCACCATTCAAGCTAGATGGGCCATAGCCTTGTATGGCTTACATTTACTGCAGGGTGCGATCCTATTTGATGGTGAATTTCTCCCCTGAGAGGGCGGCCAAGAGAGCAGGGTCATCAGAGGGTCAGAATGGATGACGGTCTGCTCCCTAGCGATGGAAGCTCAAGTCCCCAGGTGGTTCTGTTTTGATCCTGTTGGTGCTTCAAGGGATGGATGACTCATAGGGATTTCCATGCTGGGGGGTTGGATAGCAGAAGGCGACAGCGATAGCATGACGTAAGATCCTTCTTTCTAACAAAGAAAAGCAGCTGGTCCCAGCTCACCCAGCTGGTCTGTGACTCAGACTCTGACTCTAGCAGCGATCTCTGGTGGGCTGGGCTGGTCAGTTTCACTTCCTCCACAGTGACAGGATCCCCGAGGAAGAAGCTAGGAGTGGATAGATCTGTTTTGTGTGCACTTAATCACGGGTCTGACCCATCCCATTATTTTTGCGGATTAAAAAAAAAAGCATTTTTATTGTATGCATTTTAATAAATTCTTCTAAAATGCCTAAAATTCTGTATTATACACATTGCATTAAAGTATTGTAAAGTTGTGCCATCAAATCAACTAATATTCAGGAAGATTATCCTGTGGAGATTATTTTTCTGAAAATAAATATTTCCTCCGTTAAAATACACATTTTTACACTTGTCCTTGGATTTCCCCCTAAAATATGCTTGTTTGTAAAATATGCTTGTGTGTGTGTTTTTAAAACAAATCTACCTTGCAAGATTTGGAGACTTGCATACTCTTCCAAAGAGCTGAGTCCTAATCTGCATGTAAATCCAGGTTGATTCGCTTTGATTTCAAAGCAAATAACTCTTTGCTACACCTTATGTGGAGGCCTTGGTTCCATTCCATTCAGGTGAAATATGGCACACAAGAAATTTTCTGGGGACTTTTTATAAACCAAAGGCAAGCTTCCCAAAGGGAAACCCATCCAGTCAGGACCTCCTACGGAGTCAACCATTGTACAAAAGTCCCTTCCTGTCTCCTTGGTGGTTTGTTTTTAAATATAACTGGAAATCCAGCAATAAAATAACAGGACCTTGTAGGCTAAAGCATTTGGTCCCAGATAAATGCCAGCTTTCCTTTTCCTTTCACACCCAACTCCTTGCCATAAAGCTGTGTCCTTGTGTTTAGCGGAAAAGCCACTACCCTGTTAGCCACTGTGAGAAGAGGATGCTGGACTAGAAGGGCCAGTTGGGAGGTTTCCTAAAATACGTATTTTATTTACTGTATGGACCTTATGTATTTATTTGAAGAATTTTTGCCCTGCTCTTTCATAAAAAGGTAAAGGGACCCCTGACCATTAGGTCCAGTCGTGGCCGACTCTGGGGTTGCGCGCTCATCTCGCTCTATAGGCCGAGGGAGCCGGCGTTTGTCCGCAGACAGCTTCCGGATCATGTGGCCAGCATGACTAAGCCGCTTCTGGCGAACCAGAGCAGCACACGGAAACGCCGTTTACCTTCCCGCCAGAGCGGTACCTATTTATCTACTTGCACTTTGAGGTGCTTTTGAACTGCTAGGTTGGCAGGAGCAGGGACCGAACAACGGGAGCTCACCCCGTCGCGGGGATTCGAACCGCCGACCTTCTGATTGGCAAGTCCTAGGCTCTGTGGTTTAACCCACAGCGCCACCCGCTCTTTCATGGACATCCCCAAATACCTGGGACGATTGTCCCACACACCCAATAGCACTGAACAGCTTGAAGGACATACCGTGGCAGGGGTCTCCTTGGCACAAAAGGAAGCTCTAAACAATCCTTATCCTGAACCGTCCTTCCCTTCCCGCAATGATTAATCCAGGCCCAGACAGAGCCCCATAAGAAACAAGCCTCCTCCCCCCCCCCCCCACTGAGAGCTCTGTGAAAATGAAAAACAAGCAGCCTCCCTTTGGATGGGAGAGCCTGCTGGAGAAGACAAATATTTGCAGTGGAGCATTATTCATGGCATGGTCTTGGGCGTCAGAGGGATTGGGCCATGCTGGAGACAGCAGATGGCCCCCTTGCTTCTCATTAGCTGTTTGTTTATTTTGCAGAGGGAGGCTTTTGGTTTTTCTGAGGGTGGGAAGGAAACAACCCTGAATCGGAAACAAAGAAAGGAATTACTTCCTTTGTGGCTCTTGGTGGTGTGTAGGGACCCTCCCGGCGGACACACCACAAAATTGTTATACAAAATTTTGGGGTTGGCTTTTATAACCCTCCCCCCCATTCAGTGTCCCCCTTAAAACTGCTGCAGCTGGAAGGACTGTTGTTTCAAAAATATACGTAGAAAGATTGATTTGGTTACCTGTGGCAACACGGCAAATTCTGAAATGGGAGTTCCCAGCGCCACACACACTGCCTGACCCCCACAATCAGTGGCGCTGCGAGTGTCACATGCCACCCCAATCTCTGAGTGGCGAGACTCCAGAGGTTTCAGGCATCTGCCCCGGTTCAGTTTCCTCGGAACGAAGTTCAGCGGAGACTGTGGTGTCTTTAGGATACATGGTTTTATTTATACAGATATACAACCTGAGCACTGGATGGAGGGGCTCACAGTATTAACTCCCCAACCTTCCTGCTTCTCCATTAGTCACAGCTTTGGATCCAGCACAGAACAAGCAGGTCTCTGTGTATCCAGGTTCCCACCTTGCTTCCATGCCTTGATTAGGGTAATCTGGCGCATCTGTGGTCGTGGTAAGATTCGAATGCAGGTCTTCCGGGCTCGTAACTCATATTGCGCACCGCACCAGCTTCTAAAAGCCCAGGCCTTCTTGATACCCCCAGACTTTCCACTGCTCAGGGACTGACAGCACGTCTGTTCCTTTGTATCTGCCTTCCTTTGAATTTTACTTTCCGCTGTTGAATTTTGATGTATATTTCAAAAGGCAATGATTTAACGAGTCTGTTGGTTCCTGCTTTCTCTCTCTGCCACTCGCCTTGCCGGCTCCCTTTCATCTGACAACCGTCCTGAAGCATCTCGAAGCCACAGACTGTTTTCATGTCGTGGGACTTCAGAGAGATGGGAAAGGGGGGCGGGTGCCAGAAAGCTGGTGGACAAGCACAAAAAGCCTTTACTCATTCAAGCCGTGTGCCATGGCAAACGCGTCTCTCTCCCTGCCACTTTGTCACCGTAATTGCCAGCCCGGATGAGAGCAGACAAATGCATTGAGGCTAGAACTGTCGACAGCTGCTAACCATGAGAACTAAATGGAGCTGCCATATTTAATGGCAGTCTATCTGAGAATTTCAGGTGCTGGGGAGGGGGGCGAACAGGGAAGGGCCCATATACCTGAAGGAGCATCTCCACCCCCATCATTCATCCCGGACACTGAGGTCCAGCTCCGAGGGCCTTTTGGCTGTTCCCTCACTGCAAGAAGTGAGGCTCCAGGGAGAGGACAGGGAAGGGTTGGTCCTTCTGAATATTGTTGCAGGATGAGCACTTTTAGTTGATAATGTTGTTATCTCTTTTTTTATGTATTTTAAATTTTGCGCTTTGTATGCTTTTATAACCGTAAGCCTCTTTGAGACATTTTACGTAGCAATAATAAATACAACAAATTATCATTATTATATTAGGGGGAAATGGGGAAAAAACATATTAGGCAAAATAAAAGTCAAATGTGTGTGTATTAGCAGAAATGAATCTTAAAGGCTGATGAGGACTTTTTTTAAAAGAAAAAATAAATAGAAAACTGATCTGGAAAATCAGCAAACTGAAGTGAAAAGGGAGAAATTGAAATTAACCTGTTGGTCCACCTATATCCTACCAGTGCTGAAATAAAATCCACCTGCTAGTTCAGTCAATTCCTGTACATACAACAGGAATTGAGGGGGGGGGGCATCTTATCCTTTGCCTCAAAAAGCTTTAGTCCAGCCCTGGATCTGGCAGGGAGCTTCTTGTGATCTTACAAATCCATATCAGCATATATATGCTATACTGCTAGCTTTGCTGGTGGGATCTGGGACTTCCAATTCCCTGTGCAAACCAATAGCGGAAACACAGGAGAGTCGGTTTGAAAACATCAGCTCCAGATCTGACCAGATGTGTAAGATGACACAGACTTCATCCTCCCCCCCCCCCCCCGAGATTGATTCCAACCTCTGTTGTGGCTCAGAGTGTGTGTGCTTTTGGAGACAGGGAAAATGATGCAACTCTGTGCTCAGGTAACACGTGAGCCCCAGATCTGAATCCGTTCCAGGCTGGTTTTGGAACACAAACCGCCTTTGCCATCCCCGTGGGCGATGTGTGCCGGGAGACAGGTAAGGGGGAACGCTACCCGGCTGATTTCCCTGGATCCTTCCATCCCCTTTGGATGCAGCAGAAACCAGCTTGGGTGGCTTCTGGAAGAGGCTTGGGCAAGTTGATAGGGAAGGCTATCAGTGGCTATAAGCCAGGATGGCTGTGTCCTCCCTCCATCATCAGAGGCAGGATGCTGGGGATCATGCGCAAGAGAGAGTTGTTATGCTCATATTCCACCTGCAGGCTTCCTATAGGTATCTTTTGGGTCAGTGCTGGAATTGGTGGCCTTTGGCTCTTCTCATTCCTCCGCATCCACCCGCCCTGTGGAACGCCCTCCCACCAGATGTCAAAGAGAACAACAACTACCAGACTATTAGAAGACATCTGAAGGCAGCCCTGTTTAGGGAAGCTTTTAATATTTAACAGACCACTGTATTTTAATACTTTGTTGGAAGCCACCCAGAGTGGCTGGGGAAACCCAGCCGGATGGGCGGGGTATAAATAATAAATAATAAATTATTATTATTATTATTAGGTAGGACTGGGAATGCCCCCTGACTGAAACCCTAGGGAGGCACTGCCAGTCCGTGTAGACAATACTGAGTGAGATGGGCCCACGGTCTGACTCTGTATAAGGCAATGTCTTATGTTCCTGTGCTCCAGGTGTTTACATTATAGGAAGGGCTGTAGCATCTGCTTTGCAGACAGAAGGTCTTCAGTTCAGTCCCTGGCATCTCCAGGTAGGACTGGGGATTTCTCCTACCTGAAACCATAAAACAGAATCATAGAATCATGGAATTGTAGAGTTGGAAGGGACCCCGAGGGTCATCTAGTCCAACCCCCTGCAATGCAGGAATCTCAGCTAAAGCCTCCATGACAGATGGCCATCCAACCTCTGCTTTAAAGGAAGAAGAGCCCACCAGCTCACAAGGGAATGCATTCTACTGTCAATCAGCTGTCAGAAAGCACTTCTTGATGTTTACTCAAAACCTCCTTTCTTGTAACTTCAAGCCAGTGGTTTGAGTCCTATGCTCCAGAAAACAAGCTTGCTCCGTCTTCCTTGTGACAGCCCTTTAGATATTTGAAGATGGTTGTCATAAGGTAAAGGTAAACGGACCCCTGACCATTAGGTCCAGCCGTGGCCAACTCTGGGGTTGCGGTGCTCATCTCGCTTTATTGGCCGAGGGAGCCGGCGTACGACTTCCGGGTCATGTGGCCAGCATGACTAAGCCGCTTCTAGCGAACCAGAGCAGCGCACGGAAACGCCGTTTACCTTCCTGCCGGAGCGGTACCTATTTATCTACTTGCACTTTGATGTGCTTTCGAACTGCTAGGTTGGCAGGAGCAGGGACGGAGCAATGGGAGCTCACTCCGTTGCGGGGATTCGAACCACCGACCTTCTGATCGGCAAGTCCTAGGCTCTTTGGTTTAACCCACAGCGCCACCTGCACCCCTATCATATCATACCTGTCGGTACAATCCTGAGTTGGGTAGGCCGCAATGGTCTAAAGCGGCTTCCTCTGGTTCTTTGCATCGCACGTCGGAAATTTACACAGAAACCAAGAGCTGGGCTTTGTGCGTTGCAAGGATGCAGTGCTCCTCCCGAGAAAGGGGTGGGGGTGGGGAAACTACCCAATGTAGCAGCAAGCAAGGCAAAACAGGTAGCGGTGTTTGTGTGTCGGGGGAAGGAGCTGGCTGTCTCTTCCGCACTACCTGAGCTCCGACACTCAAGGTGAACTGCTCAATTATTGAACGGCGGAGCACGTCTGGAGACCATGAAATATTCAAGAGCCCTCGGATGCCAAGCTGAGCCCACACAGGGCTTTCGCCTGAGAGGAGAATGAATGGGAGCTGCCCCTTTTCAGATCAGTTTGTTCCTCCGCTCCAACAAGCAGGAGGAAAAGTGGGGCATCCTTTGGGTGGGTCCAAGGCAGAACGTAAGAAGGCTGGATCAGGCCAAAGGGGGCTCATCTAGTCTAGCATCCTGTTCTTGCAGTGGCCAACCAGATGCCCGTGGGAAACCCACAAGCAGGACTTGAGTTCAATGGCTCTCTTCCCACCTGCGATTCCCAGCAATTGGTATTCAGAACCATCACTGCCTTCGACTGCGAACAGAAAGAGGCCAGACATGCACCGGAGACAAATGAAGAGATGGGTGCCTCTGAGCATGCGTAAAGAGGACCTTACATATGAAAATTGTAAAACATCAGAGGTTAAATCAATTTCCCGATACTGCAAGTGAAAATCCAAAATCATAGGAGAATAAGGATGTCTTTGCCTGGTGCCTAAAAGTGGGCAATATTGGCACCAGGCAAGCCTTCTAGGGGAGAAGTAGCCGAGGGGTCACCACTAGAAAAGGTCCTGACTGCCCTTCACCCTTGGAAGAGGCACACAGAGAAAAAGCCTCTAATGATGATCTGAGGCCCTGGGTCTGTTCATGCGGGGATATGAGGTCACTCAGCTGGATCAATATTTGAACTAGGCAGCTTACTTCCTCCTTCTTCCTCCTCTTTGTAAAGATCTTTTATATCCTTTGATAACATACTGCGTATAAGGTCTGGTCTGAATAGAGACATTGGATTCTTATCTCAATATACACGATAAAGCTGTTTTTAGCCATCTCACCCCTTGCTTTTTCCTGTAAGACCAATTGTAGTCGTTAGAAGTCATCAACAGGTTTACCACACCTATCAGCCAATCACCCATTCCCACCACCCTTCTGAGTAATATCCCTCCCCACCCTCTCACTATATGTAAGGGTCTGGTGACTTCTGTTTCAGCGTATCTGAAGAAGTGTGCATGCACACGAAAGCTCATACCAATAACAAACTTAGTTGGTCTCTAAGGTGCTACTGGAAGGAATTTTTTTTCTTTTGTTTTGACTACGGCAGACCAACACAACTACCTACCTGCATATAAAACAGAGAGAAAATTAAAAGACGAAAAAGAAAACCCTAAAATGGGCACATAAAGTACAATTACATACGGGTTAAGTGACAAAGTCCAAGTCAATGAACGTGAAAAGCAGGAATAAAAGTTATCTTCACATAAAGAATGAATATTTGTCTCATTTGATTGTCAAGTGTAGTTCCAGATTTGCCAGGCGTGTGATGAAGGTTGTCTTGAAAATGGTGCCTTTTCTGTATATGTCACAAAGGATATAAAAAAATGTCTCGAGCTTCCAGTCCTTTGTCAACATGTCAGGTGATGATGATGATGATGATTAACCCTCCCTTCACATTGAGGTCCCAGGGTGTGTTGCACATTAAAACACAGCATTTAAAACAGTTCGAAATAATTGGCAATCATAAAAACAAGGTGGGTCCTAAAATTATACACTTCAGGTGTCAAAAGGCAGTGTCAAGGGTGAAATGAGGCATAATTTTCTCCATTGCAGGTATATTACAGAGTGAGTGGAACCAAGCATGCAGTGTAAGATTTGGGGCTGTTTTCCACTGAGTTGCAATTACTAATTAAGCTGCCAAGATTATATATAAAGCCAATTCTTTCAACAAATGCATCTGCATTTGCATCATCAAAAATACCCAGCAACATTTATTTTGGGCAGCAAACTAGGGGGCTTTTAGATTTGGAGCTGAGCCTGTTAAGTGAATCCACACATGAGCTGCCACATCTGAGCTCTCGGGAGCAACCGGTTTTTCCCCTGGGCACATTCTAGAAGGCAAAGGTGTGGATTCTGAAAGTCGCGAAATTTCAGAGGTGTGCAAAAATTGCACTTCCGTACTAACACCACCTTTCTGGCTCCGGCTCTGCTCACCTCCCAGCCTGACATGCCCACATACCCTACTGAGCATAGCTGAGTCACCACGATATCTTCCCAACGGGATGCTTTGCATCCCTTGAAGGCAGATGAAGGAGAATTATTGATGGCCTCATTACCCAAGCTTCTGCCTGCATGGGGGGAACCCCAGGGTGCTGCCAAGGGGCGAGAAATGAGAAGGAATGCTCAGCATCACGTAGGATCAGGCTCTAAGCGTTACCCAAAGGCACATTTACTTGTGGGTGGGCGCAAGTGGGTGGGTGACCCTGTTATTGCAGCTTCTCGTGGGCCCTGTGTCTGCAGCCTAACACAGGAAAGCGCATTCACTGACGGGAAGTGGAAGAGAAATCCAGATAACAGGGGTCCAGCTACAGTAGGGATACACCAGCCCTGCTCTTGAACGAAATAACAGGAATCTATTGCATCTGCCATTCTCTATACCAACACATCCCTGGGAGTAAGCTCCAAATTACTCAGTGGGGATTACTGGGGAGTAGACATCCCTAGACGCAGGTGGCGCTGTGGTCTAAACCACAGAGCCTAGGGCTTCCTGATCAGAAGGTTGGCAGTTTGAATCCCTGCGACGGGGTGAGCTCCCGTCGCTTGGTCCCTCCTCCTGCCAACCTAGCAGTTCGAAAGCACGTCAAAGTGCAAGTAGATAAATAGGTACCACTGTGGCTAGAAGGTAAACGGCGTTTCCATGCGCTGCTCTGGTTCGCCAGAAGCGGCTTAGTCATGCTGGCCACATGACCCGGAAGCTCCCTCGGCCAAGAAAGCGAGATGAGCGCCGCAACCCCAGAGTTGGTCCCGACTGGACCTAATGGTCAGGGGTCCCTTTACCTTTACCTAGACGTCCCTAGAAGTTCCCTCTCTGGAACCCCTTTGGCACCCACACCATAACATCTCTGGCGGAACTGATAGCTGCACAAGAGCTTCCGAGCAGGAGCAGTCTATCTGATATGTGAGGACTTGGGATTTCAATGTCCTCAGCTGTGCTGATTTCACCCCATAGGGGTGTGAAGATGGAACACAGTAAGCTGCCTTATGCTGAGGGCTCACCTGCTCCTCCTTCCATGTCATGTTTCTAGGTGCAAATCTAGGATTTCCATTGGGTTTTGTTTGTTTTCTGTCCCAGCACTTTCCCTGGGAAAACCTCAATGGCAATTGAGTTTTCTACATATTTCCATTTGCTTCAATTCAGCAGTAAAACGTGGATTTTTCCGGGGAAAGCACCGGAACAAAACAAAACTCGAGCTCTGCCTAGAAAGCACAGGGCATAGTAAGTGTGGGTGAGCCCTGAGACACACCACTGGTCCATCTGGCTCTGTATTGTCTACACTGACTGGCAGAAGCTTTCCCCTGCCTTACCTAAATACCTATAAATAATAATAAAATCAGTGCTTTTTTTCTGGGGGTAAAAGGTGCCGGTACTTAACACACAAGTGAGGGCTCTGAGACACCTGCCAGAGCATCTTGCCACCCTCCCTAAGCTGGACAGAAGCTTCCCGGGCTCAGGGAAGGAGGCACGAGGCAAGGAATGATAGTGCTGATAATGGTAATGAGAATAATACCTGGCAATTGAACCTCGGACCTTCTGCATGCAAAGCAGTGGCTGTTTCATTGACCTCCCCTTCCTCCTCCCCTAATAGAGAGCCTGGCCTGCAATATAGACAGGATTGTGGTGCTGGGCTTATGCAAGGCTGCTCAGTGCAGCAACGGGCATGGCCAGAATCCTGTTTCTTTTTGAGGGGGTTGACAAAGCTCCTGCCGAGCTGCTGGGCGCTTTCGCTGCTCCGAGAGCACAAAGGAAACAAAGGGAAGCGCCCCCCCATCTCCTCTTCTCCCCGCCTCTCCAGGATGTTTCACCCGATGCTATAAATCATTGAGCTATCGACCCACTGACTCTTGAGGCCTGGCAGCCGGAGAGAGGGGGCCTCTGGTTGCGAGCAGAGAGCAGCGTCCAGCTCCTTTGGCTGGCCCGTAACTCAGAGTTAATGGGCCATGAAAGCTGTGGAAGCCAGGCTGAATCACCCAATAAATACTCGGCCGGGCCTCTTAAGTCAATTGGGAAGGAAAAACAAAGGGGCCCTTTTCGCACAGAGGCCAAACGTCAGAGATAAAAAGCAGCACCTGGGCAGGGAGACCTGTTTGCCCTGGCTATATTTCCCCCTCCTCCTCCTCTCTCTTTCTGTCTCAGGCCAATGGCCCACTCACTCCAGCATCCTCTTCTCAGAGCACACGAACCCTCCATCCTCCTGTAGTTTCCAGCAAGTGTTATTCAGAAGCATTGCTGCCTCCAACCGCAAAGGCAGAGCAGAGCTGTCATGGCTAGGTAAAAGTAAAGGTAAAGGGACCCCTGACCATTAGATCCAATCGTGACCAACTCTGGGGTTGCGGCGCTCATCTCGCTTTCTTGGCCGAGGGAGCCGGCGTACAGCTTCCGGGTCATGTGGCCAGCATGACTAAGCCGCTTCTGGCGAATCAGAGCAGCGCACGGAAACGCTGTTTACCTTCCCGCCAGAGCGGTACCTATTTATCTACTTGCACTTTGACATGCTTTCGAACTACTAGGTTGGCAGGAGCAGGGACTGAGTGACAGGAGCTCACCCCGTCGCAGGGATTCTAACCACCGACCTTCTGATTGGCAAGTCCTAGGCTCTGTGGTTTAACCCACAGCGCCACCCGCGTCCCTTTCTGTCACGGCTAGTCGCCATCAATAGCCTTCTGTTCTATGACTTTGTCCGGTCCTCCTGTAAAGCCATCCAAGTTGGTGGTCATCGCTGCCTCCAGTGGGAGAGAGTTCCATAGTTTAACTACGCACCGTGCGAATGAGTACAAAACCCTCCCTGGATGCTAAGTGCCTGATCAAATTTGCCTCCCCACCCCACCCCCACTGAAATGCCTGGGTTGTTTTGGGGTTTTTTAATTGCATGAGAGCCTAAGCGTGAATCTACCTAAGGAGATGAAAGATGTCTGAGACCGGCTGGGCTTCTGCAGCACGCTTGATCTTTCCAAAAGATTTGTCTGTGACGCGTTCTCTGTGGGGCTGCCCTGGAAGGCGACTTGGTCCAAAATGCAGTAGCCAGAGCTCAGCAAACGCCCGCTTTTAAACAGTTGTTATCATCATCATCATCATCATCATTATATTGATTCCCCCCTTTTACTGGCTTTCAACACAGATAAAATACAAAAGCTAATCACCAAATCGTAATTAAATTCAAATAGCATTAAAAACACACACAAAACCCAAATCTATTGAAATACAGATGATAAAAACAGCAGAGCATTATAAAATCCCTTTCCTTTTTTAAAAAAGAACAACCAGTTCCCAAAGGTGTGTCAGAATAAAAGAGTCTTTGTCCATCAGCAGGAGGACAGTTGCCAGTTTGTTTCCAAGCCCAATTCAAGGACCTCACATTAGTGTCTAAAGCCCCGAAAGGCCCCCAGATATCTGAAATACCTTCTCCTTCCCTACAGACACTTTTAGGTGCCCTCTTGGTAGTTCTTCCACTGCCCTCAGAAGTTTGGGGGTGACAGCTGGACAAGGGCCTTCTCTGTGGCGGCCCCTCAGTTGTGGAAATCTCTCCCGACTACCCTGTGTCTGGCACATTCATTGCATGGCTTTCACCCTAAGCTGAAGATGCACCTCTTTACCCAGGCTTAGGCCACCTGAGAGAAAGAGATTTTAGGACCCACCCCGTTTTTTTGGATGGTAAATTTTTTTAATTGAGTTTAGTGTTCTATTTTTATAATAGTCTTTTTTAAAAAATAAAAATAAATCATTTTCTCATTTTGCAAATATTTTAACAAAAAGAAAAGAGTATTTACACAATCCATCTACAATGCCACATCCTCCTCAACCCCCTCCCCACCTTTCTGTGGTTACTTATTTTATATCTTTTACCAATGCATATCAAATTCAAACTTATTTACTAATTTTCCTTTTGTATCCCCTTTAAGTTATTCTTACTGCACGTTTTTATGTGAATCCTGCTAATGTTCTAAGTTGTTTACATCTTCAAATAGTCCGTACATTTCCCCCATTCTGTATTAAAAAGTCTCTCTTCTTGGTTTCTTATTCTGCCATTTCAGCGCAGTCCATAAATTTTCGTTGCCAATCGTCCTTCATTAGAGTTGTTTCTTCTTTCCATCTCTGGTCGTAAATCATTCTGGCAGCCATAGCAGAGTACATAAATTGTCCCCCCCCCCCGTTCTTTGGGTACCTCTTCACCAATTCTATCTAAAAGAAAAGCTTCTGGTTTTTTTTTAAGTTATCTTTAGCATTTTCCCCAACTCATTATAGATCATTTCCCAGAAAGCTTTAGCTACCTTACATGACTCTATTTTTATAATGTTCTGATCTGTCCTGGGACGCTGAAGTGAAGGGCAGGTAAGAAATGCAATGAGATGATGATGATGATGTTGATGCCACAAAAAAGCCAAAATCAAATTCTCACTCGACCGTGAAGCTCACTGGGTGACCTTGGCAGGCCAGTCACTGTCTCTCTCAGACCAACCTTCCTCACCGGGTTGTTGTTGAGATTAAATGTAGCGGGGGAGAACTCTGCACGCCTCCTTGAGCTCCTTGGAGAAAACCGGAGGGATATAAGGGCATTAATTTTTAAAAAATAAATTCATCGAATCATAGAACCTTAGAGTTGGAAGGGACCCTAAGCATCATCTAGTCAACCCTGCTACCAGGCAGGAATCACAACTGAATAATGGGCAATGGTGGGAGGATGAAACCACGAGTATTCCTGACTAACTCTGTCCCCCACGTTCTTTGCTTTGTCTGCTACGGCAGGTATTCCGAAGAGGAGATCCGTCAGAAAGTGGGGACCTTCCGGCAAATGCTGATGGAAAAAGAGGGTGTTCTCACCCGCGAGGACCAACATGGGCGGCAAATGTGAGTAGGAAGGGATTGCTGGTACCAATTGCTTGCCTGGCCAATGTGAATACACCTGTTGATATATAGAGCCAGTGTGGTGTAGAGGTTAAGAGTGGTAGACTCGTAATCTGGTGAACCAGGTTCACGTCTCCGCTCCTCCACATGCAGCTGCTGGGTGACCTTGGGCCAGTCACACTTCTCTGAAGTCTCTCAGCCCCACTCACCTCACAGAGTGTTTGTTATGGGGGAGGAAGGGAAAGGAGAATGTTAGCCGCTTTGAGACTCCTTCGGGTAGCGATAAAGTGGGATATCAAATCCAAACTCTTCTTCTTCTCTTCTATATATCTGTATAGGCGCTGGGATCCTCATTGCAAACTCTGCCTCTTTTAATATCTCCCTCCTGGTTTCCAGTGTGCCTGAGCCAACAGAGCCTAGTTTCCCCCTAACGTGTCAGGGCAAAGGATTCCCATCCCCACAAAAGAACTCCTTGCATGTAGAAAACTAGCGTGTCAGGGAGGAAGCTGGGTTTGAAAGCTTCCAGGTCAGGCAACCCAGCGGCTCATTTTCACTGTCCTTGCAGACTGCTTTCCCCCTGCCCTCGAACACAGCCAAGCTGGTTGGTTCCCTTCCTGATGGACTGATTGCCCTCACAGACCACGGCTTGGCCTCCCTGCCCCCACTTGAGAGGCCCTCTCCATCAGTAACGCTTCTGAGCTTTCCCAGGATTGATAGTGACTTAGCTGGCGTGCCGGCAAAGCGCATATTATAATCCATTAGCCAGCACTGGGGGAGGAGGGCGTAGAAGAAACCAGGTCACTGAGGAGGACAGAAATAGAGCTTGCTGATTCATTGCACAGGAAGGCCTCGTTTGGGTGGGGGAACTGGGGAGCACGGGGAACTTGGGCAAAAGGTAGAGCAGCTTGTGCGGTCCAGGGTATCGTATCACTTTAATCATACCTTCCAACTTTTTCCAATGCAAAACCGGGATATGTAGTTTCCAGGTTGTGCTGTTGGGAGAGTCATATGCCCTACACCTTGCTCTCACCCCAAAAACGTGCATTTGGGGTGAGTTCTTATGTGGTGCCCAAAAACCGGGCAACCCAGTCAGACGGGTGGCATTTAAATAAATATTAGTATTACAAAATTATGCATGGCATGGATAAAGTGGATAGAGGAAATGTTTTTCTCGCTCTCTGAAAACACTATTTCTCATGAAGCTGAATGTTGAATGGTTGTCTGAAGACAACTTCTTCCTCTTCTTTGGCGATCACTCGTAGCCGAGTAAGATTGTCTTCCATAAACACGGTTTTAACAATGAGTCTGTAAGTGACTGTGGAGGCCAATTCTGGATCCACACGTCCTTCCACAGTGGGGACATTGGTTTCCGGGTGGGAGTTGATCACGGTGTGGATTTGCCAAGCGTGCCCTCCTCTTAGCACGTAGTTGAACTATGGAACTCACTTCCCCAAGAAGCAGTGATGGTCTGTGTAATAAACGTAAATCTGCCTTTATTCCCTTATGGGGGACATAAGAGCCCTTATAGAGTCCTTTGCAGGTTCTCCATTGGTCGGAGAAAAGAACAGAGGCCAACCAGAGAATATTGAGAAGCAAAGCAGCTAGTAAGCCTGATCTTTATTGAACTGTTGCAACAGGGTGCTGCCCTCACACGTAGGAGGAGGAGGAGGAGGAGGAGGAGGAGGACCCAGAACCCAGGTGTGCCTGCCCTTATATAGACATTTTAAATTGCCCGCTTTGGAGTCCAAGACCACCCCCAGAAACATCATACATACATCACAGAAGGGGTGTAGCTCAAGACCACCCCCCAGACACTTCATACCTACAACACAGAAAGGGCGGTCTACAACAGAAATCTAAATGTGTTGTTTATCTCCTGTCTGGCAGATTACCTGTTAATGCTTACTTGATTGGGGAGCCTGGCCAGTCTTTTGTAGTGACAAATACTTAGTTCCTGAGCCAGGTCACAGGCTCACCCTATTCATACACAGATATACCCTTAAGATAGGTTTTGTGAATGAAAAGACAATGAGGAGGCTTTTCCATTTTCCTTTGACCTTGCAGAGAAAACATTTGGTCAGCTTGGGAACCAAAATGGCTCCAGGACTGCCCTCCTGTGCTGCCTCAGACATGTGGCCCATACATTTATATATGTGTTTGCCTGACAAATCCATGAACATATATATATATATAGAGAGAGAGAGAGAGAGAGAGAGAGAGAGACCTTTTTTAAAAATTTCATCACCAACTTGGATGGCATTAAAATAGAATTGGATAAATTCATGGAGGAGACAGCTATCAGTGTCTACTAGCCATGATGGCTCTGCTCTGTCTCCACAGCTGGAGGTAGTAATGTTCCCTGTAGTCACCTGGTTGGCCATTGTCAAAACAGGACGCTTGGACTAGATGGGCCATTGGCCTGATCCAGCAGGCCCTTCTTATGTTCATCTTTCCACATTATTTCTGGATTGGGTTAGGGAACTCACTCAATAATTGATCGGTTTATAGCAGCCCCAGCAAAACCGTATCGTGGAAAAACATGGGAGTCCCATGCCCTCTGCCTTTGTACGTCTGCCTTTGCAAAATCGTAAGCGCTTATAAATATCAAGGCTGGCAAATGGTTTTGAGAAACTGACTCACTCCTCTTTTGCCTGGCATCCCCAGGGAAAAAGCTGAGAGCGGGAAATTATAAGGGGAGGCCACAGCAGCCTGCAGACACAGCCCAGGAAGCATTAATCTCTGTCGCTAAGGGAGCTTAACCCAATTACAAACCGAGTGAATAATTGGCTGCTTTAAGGAAAATGAACCCCAGGATGTTTTGGCTCAGAAAATACAACAGAGACATCAGTGGGCTGGAGAAGCAGGGGAGGAAGCATGGCTGTCACGGAAAAGCCTATTCGTGGCTTTTGCCTGTGGTAACTGGAGTGCAAATTAGATGGCTGTGAATAGCACTTTATAAATGGCAGCAGGGTAAATGTACACCCATTCAGAGTGAGGGGGGGACCAAATGCATTGCCCTCACTCTGAGTTGGCTTTGTGTTGTTCTCCCCCACTCCAAACTCATAAGCTGCAAGGGGAAGTGGTGCCATCGTGCTTGCTGGTTCCTATATTGCTCTGAGTTCCTTGCATAAGAAAAGGTTTAAGAGAGTGTGGATTTGCACATTGTGAAATAGAAATCAAGCCCTCGCACTGTGATTGGGGGAAAGGTCTGCTCAAGACTCTGTTTATTAAGGCAAGGCAATTGCATTGGAGAACACCCCCATCAGCCAGACTCTTCTCTGAGCTAATCAATAGGTCATGCAAATTTTATAGGGATGATAAAGTTGTCACAACCTGGTTAATAAGAAACCACAATAAATTGGCTTTGCGGGGGGGGGGACAGGAAAACAACATCACAGGTCAAAAACCTGAAACATTCCATACTTCCTTCACTGTTTCACCTTTTCTCCCACTTTCAGGCTGACTCTCTCTTTCTTTTTATACTCTTGGAGTTTATCCGTATTTCCCTTTGTCTTGCTGTTTTCCCCTGGGGAAAACCGTTCTTTAGCGCTCAATTGGAGAAAACAGCAATTTCCCACAGATTGCTGTTTGTTCTGATGTAAGCTAAAGAGAGGTTTTTTCCTGGGAAGGGAGTGGGACAAGTGGGGGCGGTCCACCCTGGGTGTCATCACCAAGGGGGGTGACATTCATTCCCGTTGGCCACCCACGACTCTCGCCTGCCCTGAGCCGTCAGGGGAAGGGGGGTAGTTGCACCGCTTTTCAGCGCTTCGTTTTGACAGCTCTGCACTCCCTGGCTGCTGGAGGAGGCAGGCAGGCAGGCAGGCAGGGAGAGGATGGGAATAATAATAATAATAATAATAATAATAATAATAATAATAATTTATTATTTATACCCCGCCCATCTGGCTGGGGTTCCCCAGTCACTCTGGGCAGCTTCCAACAGAATAGTAAAATACAATAATCTATTAAACATTAAAAGCTTCCCTAAACAGGGCTGCCTTCAGATGTCTTCTAAAAGTCTGATAGTTGTTTTTCTCTTTGACATCTGGTGGGAGGGTGTTCCACAGGGCGGGTGCCACTACCAAGAAGGCCTTCTGCCTGGTTCCCTGTAACATGGCTTCTCACAGGGAGGGCCAGAAGGCCCTCAGCGCCAGACCTCAGTGTCCGGGCAGAATGATGGGGGTGGAGACGCTCCTTCAGGTATACTGGACTGAGGCCGTTTAGGGCTTTAAAGGTCAGCACCAAGGAGGCAGGTGAGCAAACAAGTGAAGGGTGGAGGGAAGGAGAGAAACTGAAGCTCTATCAACTCAGGACCCAAACCCTGCAACCCCCAGAAAAGCTCAACAGCTTTGGCCAATCCTTCTCTAAAAACGTTCAACAAGCCCTGGCAATGACAATGGGTAGATCACAGCCAGTCTTTTTATACTATGAGTAGATTGCAGTCTCTTGGGAGTCCAACTAGATTTCAATGTTTGGGGGGGGGGGTGACAAGAAATTTTCCTCACTGGGTACCACCTAACCTTGCTACGCCACTGCTCAGGCCTATTCCAGGCCCGAATCCTTGCAGAGCCCGGATCCATACACTCCACTTCTGCAACGTCCCCCTCCTCCTTTTGTCTTTGATGCAGAGTGATCGAGAACCATCACATGGTGGATGGCGAAGAATACATGATGCAGTACCCGGAGTACGGGAAGGGATGCCCTTTGCAGTGCGACTGCACCACCGACTGCTACCAAGACGACAGCAGTCACCGCGAATACAGGTGAGTCTCCTGTGAAGAACACAGGTCATTTCCCATGGTTACAAGAAGGGTCTCTGTGAAAAGGTGTGTGGACTTCTTCATGCTCTGATGGTGAGAAACAAACCCTTGGGCAGTACTGCCCCCTAGCTGATGTGGCATTACTGGGGGGGGGTTCTAAGAGGCAAGCAGGAGGCAGGAGGACATAGAGGCCAGGGGGTGGCAGTGGGGGGATGCTAAGAAGTGAGGGGGCGGTAGTGAGGCACTGTAGGTGGGCTGCCCTGAACCCATTGATCGCTTATTTACCATTGACCAGTTTAGTGCCTAGAGCAAAACACCTTCCTCGCTTCGTATTTAAAGTTTTACTGCTCTTGATCACTTACAAAGCTATTTAATTTGCCATGTTTGTTTGTATTTACGGTTCCTGTCACAAGATAGCCAGTTATTGCAGATAGCCATTGATTTTTCTTATAAATTAGCTACCATAGGTCTGCGGTAAGCGAAGGTTTGTTCATGCCTGGTAAGGACTTCTACATAAATAGCTCATGCTATAAATGTCCATCGCCCTTGTGTCTTTGTCAGTGAAAATATTTTTCATGCAACGTCTGGTGCTACTGGATCAGTTTTGTTGAATTAACCAGACAGAAGGTTTTGAGTGGATTTTAATTAAATGCTACTGTTCTGAAATTGTTGTTGCTGTTGTTGTTAATATGCCACCCATCTGACTGGGATGCCCCAGCAACTGGGCGGCAAACTGCTATTCTGAATGATGTTTTTAATAGGGTAGGGAAAACTGAGGGTGAGTTTATGGAACCAGTGGGACTGTGCCCCAAAAATGTTTGAGAACCACTGAATTGGCTTACAGCACGGTTCATCAACGTTGTGTCCTTCAGAGGTGGATGGACTACAACTCCCACCATCCCTGGCTCTTAGCAATGTCACCTGGGGGCTGATGGGAGTTGGAGTCTTATTAACTTATGGAGTGTATTGTGTTGGCGACCCCTTTAAACCAGCAAGTGCCTATCCTAAAATCCTCTTCCTCCTCCTTCTCTACAGGCTGAAGAGACGATCGAGCAGCTCCACCTCTCCCCCGCCCAAGAAGAAAAAGAAAAAGAAATCAGGTCATCGCCGGAGCCGGTGAGTCACCCCCCAGTGGCGCTGATGTTGGGATGGAAGGGCAAACAAGTGGATATGACCCGGGCCAGGGACTCTTCAATCCAGCCAGAATGCTGGGCTTTGAGCAAGTCCTAAACCAAGGATGTGAGGACCTTTGGCTCTCCAGATGTCACCGCTGTTACTGCAACGAATTTATTCATAGCCCTCTAAGCCGCAATCTGCAAAAATAAATAAATAACCCAAAACAGTTAAAAGGACAAAGACAACCAACACATTTGAAACAGGGCTGAAACCCAAACAATTGGTAAAGACCATTTTATCCTGCCGGAACCAAGATGGCGTCATCTGTTTCTGTTAAGTGCAGATGAAGGGGAAGCCTATCGTATCGCACCAGGAATGCTATTTCAGTTGGTTAGAGCGTGGTGTTGATAATGACAAGGTTGCAAGTTCGATCCCCACAAATTTCCTGCGTTGCAGGGAGTTGGACTGGATGACCCTCAGGGATGCTTCCAACTCTTATGTTTCCATGTTTTAGATTTCTCCCAGGCCTTTGTGCAGCCCCCATTCCTGCCTGCAACATAACCTGTTGAACTCTGGGCTCAGCACACCTTCCCTGTGGTTGGCGTTGCCAGTTTCTTCTGCCTAACCCAGAGACCGGCTCTGCGTCCCCCAGCACAGAGACACTTCTCAATGCTTCACTGTGCCAGTATTCCATGCCTGACTCTGAAATGCATCCATTCCTTGATGTACTAAGTGCAGAAAGGGGAGGGCGGGGGACTCAGCCGTTCTTCTCCTCCAGTTCTCTCCCCCCCAACCATCCTGATTTCAGATCCCTCCGCTAATGATTTCCTCCTCAGAGCTCAGCTAACATTTTAATGAGTGTGGCTTTCTTAAACCAGGCCAGGGGGAAATGAAACTAATGAGGAAAGTAGCAGAAGGGGGGGGGACCAGGCGAGAGCGGCGCTGTCTCCTCCCTTGAACCAGATGATGATATATAGGTATAATGTATAGGTATATGTATAAATTCCCCATAGGGCTGAGAGGGTTCATCCCAGAGGACCACCCTATGGGGGCTCAATCAAAAATAAAAAATCCTTTGAAGCCTTAACCCAGGGGACAGAAAATTTGGAAGGTTGCCTGGGTAACTGGGCACAGGAAGTGATGTCACAGGGGGATTTGGGGGCCTTTGGGATAGCTAAAGAGAAAGAAAACCATTTTGGCAGGCTTGCTAATGGCAGGCTGGGAGAGATCACAGCCTCCAGCATTTCTCCAATGAGAATAGGGGTGCCCTATTCAATAACAATAATACAGTAGTACCTCAGGTTACAGATGCTTCAGGTTACAGACTCTTCAGGTTACAGACTCCGCTAACCCAGAAATAGTAGCTCGGGTTAAGAACTTTGCTTCAGGATGAGAACAGAAATTGTGCCACGGCGCCGCGGCAGCGGGAGGCCCCATTAGCTAAAGTGGTGCTTCAGGTTAAGAACAGTTTCAGGTTAAGAACGGACCTCCGGAACAAATTAAGTTCTTAACCCGAGGTACCATAATAATGATGATGATGATGATGATGATGATGATGATGATGTTATTAGTTATACCTTGCCCATCTGACTGGGTTGCCACAGCCACTCCAGGCAGCTTCCAACATATATAAAAACATAATAAAACATTAAAAAACTTCCCTCTACAGGGCTGCCTTCAGATGGCTTCTAAAGGTTGTATCTCCTTGCCTTGGGGCGGGGGCATAGCTGTCAACTTTTCCCTTTTCTTCGGAATAAGGGAATTTCCCTTTAAAATAAGGGAAACATTGACAGCTATGGCGGGGGGCAGGGTGTCACATAACTCCACACCCCGCAACATTTCTCCAGTAAAAATAGGGACGTCCTAAGGAAAAGCGGGACATTCTGAGATCAAATCAGAAACCAGGACAGCTTCTGTAAATCTGGGACTGTCCTGGAAAATAGGGACACTTTGAGGGTCTGGGACAGGGGTCAGCAACCCGCGGCTCCGGAGCCGCATGTGGCTCTTTTACACCTTTGCCGCGGCTCCAGGGCGGATACTAGTGAGGGGAGGAGGCGCATTGTGCGCCCCGACACTCCCCACTGTGGGGGGCGCTGTACTGGCTGTGATGTTGCATGGGGGCGGTGCGTGCTTTAGTCACGCACCGTCCCGACATCACCTTCCCGCCCGCTGTCAGATCGCGGCTCTGGAGATATATTTGTTTTAAATGTCGCAATGGTTTTGCGGCTCCCAGTTTTTTTTCCTTCGGAAACGGGTCCAAGTGGCTCTTTTTGTCTTAAAGGTTGCAGACCCCTGGTCTGGGAGATGCCTTACATTTCAGTGCTGTGAAGAACAAGTCCCTCTTGAGACGACCATGCTGTAAGAACAGTACTTTGTAACAATACGTTACAAAGTCACCATCAGTCTCCTCGCATGCTGCGTTTCCTGCAAATACACTGTGCTCCCAAGTGGTTCCGTGCGTCGATAATTTACAGACAACCACTATAATTATAACGCAGTACGATAGAAAACGTTAGCAATTCAGCAGCGGCTGCTTATTTGATGCAGGGATGGGGAATGTGGCAGCCCTCCTTCAGGTGCATTTGGCTTCCCCTCCCGTCTGCCTCTGTCAGTGGTCAGGGATGATAGGAATTGTAGTCCGGCAATGGGTCCTGGAGGGCCACAGGTCTTCCTCTTGCCTCTGCTTTCAGCCACAAGGTGGGGAGGGCACCATGGCCAATGGTATCTAAAGCTGCTGAGATCAAGAAGCAGAAACAGAATCCCACTGCCCTCACCCCACTCTCAAGAGAGGTCATCCATTAGGGTGACTATGGCTAATTCAGTACCCAAACCACACCTGAACCCAACTTGAGATGGATCCTGATCACATATATCCTCCAGGAACTCCTGGTATTAATAATAGCAACATACTACCCAGGATTACGCTGGTGGCACTGTGGGTTAAACCACAGAGCCTAGGACTTGCTGATCAGAAGGTCGGCGGTTCGAATCCCTGCGACGGGGTGAGCTCCTGTTGCTCGGTCCCTGCTCCTGCCAACCTAGCAGTTCGAAAGCACGTCAAAGTACAAGTAGATAAATAGGTACCCCTCCAGCGGGAAGATAAAAGGCTTTTCCAAGCGCTGCTCTGGTTCGCCAGAAGCGGCTTAGTCATGCTGGCCACATGACCCAGAAGCTGTACGTTGGCTGCCTCGGCCAATAAAGCAAGATCAGCGCCACAACCCCAGAGTCGTCCGCGACTGGACCTAATGGTCAGGGGTCCCTTTACCTTTTACCCAGGATAACTCAGTCAGTAGAGCATGAGACTCTTAATCCCAGGTTCATGGGTTTGAACCCCACATTGGGCAAACGTATACCTGCATTTTAGGGGGTTCAACTAGATGACCCTCGTGGCACCTTCCAGCTCTACAGTTCTGTGATTCTATTATTATACCTCCATTAAGCAAATAAAAATAGCATTTGCCAACCCACAAACCCCTCCCCAGAAATGTCTCAACAAGTGGGGCAGGGGAGAGGGGCATCAAATTGAAATCATTAAATTGTCGGCTGCATAAATGAAATGTTATGAATCGCTTTAAGAATGATTGGGAGGATGTCCTCATAGCAAAAGTGTGGTCTTAAGGGAACAAAGCAAGATTATATGGTGGTGTGAAAATTGCAATATATGCATTTTATGCACACATTACCCAAGTGAATACATTTTGGCACACATTACTTGGCTGGAGAAGTGCATTGCAAAATTGGGAGAAGTGTGGATTTTGAAGGGTGTCTGTGTTTCGTTCACATATTGTTTCTGGAAGTGTGGATTAAGTAAAGTTTGTCTTTAAATGTGAACTCAATAGAGTCAGTCCCCCCTTTCTTACTACCACCCCATAACAGGTGGTGAAATTTAACAAGTTAAAAAAGTGGGGGTGATGACCACAGCAGATGCCATTCCTTAAATACTGAAATTGGAACATGTGAAATTGGGGGGGGGGTTGCTACCTAGCATCGCCCCAACTCCCTGCTGAGGTGGGTCTTACCCATAATGCCACCTAAGTAGGGCTAAATTAAAGCAACAGACACATGAAACATAAAAAGGTTTGTGAAACACCCCCCCTTGCAAAATTGTATAAGTCTGAGGAATGTTGTTCTCTCTTGGTCTGACCTACCTCAAAGGGCTGTAGTGTGGATAAAACTGGAAAGCCCTGAGCTCCTTGGAGGAAAAAAACTGTGGGGGGGTGTTACAAATTTGACAGATGGAACAAGAGTTCTCCAACCCCAAATCCCTGGCAATGCTTCTGAACCCCACAAGTTCTGATGCCTGCTTTCACCTCCACAGGGACTAGCAACTTGCTCAAGAAAGCTGAGATTCTTTGGGTGTTGAATTGAACCCTTTCTGTGTTTGCGCAGGGGCACAAAAATACACACACAGTCCTGATAGATGTGGCCTGTGTAATTTTCTTACTAGTTTTAAAAATATGCCAGGTTAGACACTTGTCCGGCCCGGTCGTGATTTCAGAAGTCTACCATGTTCTCTAAACCATCCGCTCTTTTCAGAGAGACACTCCTTAACCTCTCCTTTGTCTGTTTCCTGTCTTGCAATCTCAGCAAAAAAAGGAAACCTGGATCTGAACGCAGGTGAGTGCCAACGGAATTCGCATCATCCACATGATCTATTACCTATAATTTCCCATATATTTATAGAAACCCATCCAAGGTGTCTGGTTTTTTACGGCTTTCCCCACAAGGTTTCCCCAGCCACCCAAAAAGCAGTCCCATAAAGTAAGGGGGCTAATTTGTCTGGATGCCTTTAACCCTTGGATGGCTTCAAAAGAGAATTGGACAAATTCCTAGAGGGGTGGGCTCTGCCTCTACAGTTGAAGGCAGCCCAGCTTCTGCTTCCCAGAACCACAGGAGGGTAGACGGATCTTGTGGTCAGGTCCTGCTTGCAGATTTCCCATATAAAGCATCTAGTTCAGGGGTCAGCAAACTTTTTCAGCAGGGGGCCAGTCCACTGTCCCTCAGGCCTTGTGGGGGGCCGGACTATATTTTGAAATAATGAACGAATTCCTGTGCCCCACAAATAACCCAGAGATGCATTTTAAATAAAAGGACACATTCTACTCATGTAAAAACACGCTGATTCCTGGACCGTCCGCAGACCGGATTGAGAAGGCGATTGGGCCGGATCCGGCCCCCAGGCCTTAGTTTGCCTACCCATGATCTAGTTGGCCTCTGTGAAAACAGGAAGCTGGACTAAATGGGCCATTGGCTTGATCCAGCAGGCTTTTCTTATGACGTTCCCACATGCTGATTCAGCTCCATTTCCTCCTGACAAACTGACATAGTCCTTTTTCGCATTTCAGCGGGGATAGCTCTTCCCCGGTACGGAAGGAGAAGAAGAAGAAGACAGGGAAAAAACACCGGAGAGACAGGTAAAGGACTCAGGGCTCCCCCTTTTCATCTCCCCCTAACAATGGGAAGGTCCATAGCTCACTGGCAGAACATCTGCTTTTCACGCAGAAGGTGCCCCCGTTCAATCCCCAGGGGCATCTCTGGGGAGGGGTGGGGGAAGGCACTGAAAATCCTGCCAGCATCTCTTTGCATCTCAAATGCTTCACTAACAGAGCCAGAACCTGGCTTCCATTTTCTGGTCACGCTGGACTGTGACAGGATTTTGGAAACTTGCATGGGTACTTCTGGGCAAGCAGCCAGTTCCAAAGCTGGCCAGTAGCACTGCCAGCTGGCCTAGGGATCTGGACCCTGGAGGCAATTGCCCTCAGGCTGGTAGGTAGAGGAGGCAGAGTAGCTGGAGGACTGGTGCAGCCTGTCCTGTCTGTCCCTCCATGGCTTATCTGGGCTGCCCATCCACCACTAGTCAGCCTGCTGTAGTCACCAGTCAGCAGCGCCACCTGTTGACAGCCAAGCAAACTGCAGCATGACAACACCCTTCCATTTTTATTATATTCGATCCCCGACATCCCTGGCTTGGGCCCTAGGGCACCACTGCTGGTCGGTATAGACACTACTGGGCTAAGTGGTTCAGTAGTCTAACACAGCTTCCTTTGTTCTCATCTATCTCTTCCACTAGATAATCTCCCGTTGATAGGAGAGTACATACTTTTTTTAAGCAAAAAAGATCTGACCCACCTAGCATTTCCAGGTAAATGGAGGCCCCTGGATTGGAAGAGACCTTTCTTTTCAGGAAATTGAGGTGTGCCACTGCCAGTCACAACAGGTTAGAACTGGGCTGAATGGACCAGAACTAACAGAGGCTATAGATTGTTGCAGCCTCCAACTCCCATCAGCTCTGTCAGGATGCTGTGAATTGGAGTCCAGTGACATCGACAGGGCAACATGGCTGTGTTACATAGAGACAAGTTGCTGCAGGTTCCGTCAGTAAAGGCCATGGTCAATCTATCTGTTGTCTGCACAGCCCCACATTCTGGACTAAGATGGTCTGGATGAGCAGTTTATTTATTATTATTAAATTTATTGCTCACCCTTCATCAGCAGGTCTCAGGGCTGGTTACAGCAATTTAAAATTCAGGAATAGGGTAATCTGGGTGCTGCATCTTTGGTGTGGCTCTTATGCAAGGAAAGAGATATTTGGCTATGCGCTCCCCCCCCCCCTTTCTCCTGGACCATCTCAACCAGTGTCTCTCCTTTCCTCTCTTTGTTCCTGTTCTTGCCGGTTGCCCATCAGGTCTGCGTCTGGCTCTCGTAAGAAGAGGAGGCACAGGTGAGGGTTAATGGTGTAGATTCCTCCCCCCACCGCACACCTTGTCTCCCCTAATCCCACATCCACATTCCTCACCTCCTCCCCCATCTCAGCCGTGACCGGCAAGGCAAATTATGCACTGCCCTCTAGTGGCCAAAGACCACATTTGATCCTCTTTCTATAACAAATTCACCACTTGCCCCCTTGTCAGGCTCAAGGTCTCTTCCGGCCAAGCTCAGAAGAAACCACATTGGTCCAGGGCCATGAAAGTAGCTCCATAAAGGCCACCATAGCCAGGCACGAAAAGGCCAAAGGATCCGGGTTCAAAGGCTTGCAGGGAACAAGGAAGGTCACTTGACTTGCCCGGGAGGGCGTCACCAAGATTTCACCTGCCAGGAACTCCTGGAGGAGTTCGCTCCATAATGATGGGGCCACCACCAAGGAAGTCCAGGCTTGGACATCCAGATGGGTGCAGGGGTACCTGTGGAATCTGCCATGGAAAGATGTCGTGGTGGTTACCAATTTCAAAGGCATTTAAAAGTGGAGTCGAACAGATTTATGGAAGGAAAGGCTATCAGTGACTACTAGTCATAGAAAACATACCTTTGAATACCAGAAGAACAGCAGGAGAAAGTAACTGCACTCCTGCCCTGCTTGTGGGATTCCCAGAGGCAACGGTTGCCAGCTCTGTGAAACACGTCACCCAGAATCTGCCATTGGAGGTGGCTACCTCACTTTGTCTAATGATAGAGCCGGCCATGGCAAAGATTAGTTAGGTGAGCTCTCGGTCTGATCCAGCAGGGCTCATCTTATGTTCTTACATGAAGTACAGTCTCTAGAGCTGTTCTCTGCAAGCTGGGGAGGGTGTGGTGGCCAAAATTTATATAATAAGGCGTAAAATGCACCAACATTATAATCACTTAGTGATAACAATGGGACTGCAATAGCTTTCAGTGCAGGCACACAGAGCTCTCATCATCTGCAACAGCCTCCCTGTTCATTTCAGCACAGGAAGCTGATTTGAAGGTGCAGATAAAGCAATGGGTCATGGTGAGGTGAGATGTCATGACTTGCAAAACGTTCTCTAGACCGTCAGAAAATAGCCTGCCCCTCTGATTCTGGACCCTCCCCCTAAGAGTCGATTCCCCATGGAGAGGCTGATAAGCAGGCCACAGGTTTGGCACTTTGGCACCTGGGGAAGCTGTTCCATGAAATATTCTAGAAGGAAAAACTGGCTGCTGAGCCTGGTGCTTCCTCTGCCCATGTCTGGTTTCCCTCCTCCTCTCTCTCTGTCTCTCTCTCTGCCTCTCCCTTTTCATGTGCGTTCAGTTTTCTGCTGTCTCATAGGTCCAGAAGTCTCAAGAGCAAAAGGAAAGAGAAGAACAAAGACAGAAAAAGGTGAGGATCAGAATAGATTGCACCCCATCCGCAGAAGAAAACAGCACAGAAAATAGCACAAGTTGAATGCTTATTCCCATGTTACTTGCAAGTGCAATTTCCCCCCGGAAGCAAATAAAATGGGAATTAACCATCTTGAAATACTCATGGAAGATGAAGCAAGCTTGTTTCCTGCGGCTCCAGAGGGCAGGACCCAAACCAATGGATTCAGATTACAAGAAAGGAAATTCTGACTTAACATTAGGAAGAGCTTTCCAATGGTAAGAGCTGTTTGACAGCAGAACAGCCTCCTTTGGAAGGTAGTGGACACTCACTTGCTGGAGGGTTTCCAACAGAGGTTGGATGACCACCTGTCAGGGATTCTTTCATTGTGATTCCTGAATTGCAGAGGGTTGGACTAAATGACCGTTGGTGGTCCCTTACAACTCTGTGATTCTAGGACTAACACCTTGAATTTTGCCCGGTAGCTCACCAGCAGCCAGTGCGATGCTTTCAGAACTGGTGACTCAAGGTCCCGTCAGACTCCTGAACCCAGACCCATGGTTAGGCTCAGCATCCAGGCCTGGATCCAAATTCAGCCCCTCTGTAGCTTGCACCAGCTGGTCCTTCCTTTGTGCCAAAGTCCTGGCTGTCAATCAGGGTCTGGGTCATGATGGGGGCAGTCCCAGAACTCCTCCTGAGCCACAGTCATGGACTAATTGGACACTGAAGAATAGTCGGGGGAACCAGCTGGGGAACCCCCAGGGGAAGAAGGCTGAGAACCAGGGGAGTGGTGGTGGGACAATGGGGTGGGAGGGAGAAGAGGGAGAGGACTGGAAGGAGGTGTCAGAATCTGAAGGGTTAACAGGGCTTAGTGAGCAGGGGGAGTCTGTGGCAGAGAGAAGTCCAGAATCAGAGGCAGAGGTTGAAGCAGAAGAGGAGGGAGACCAAGAGGCAGAGAGGAGTCAGGCTGGTGCAGAGTCATGTGTGCCTCCCCTTCCTGCCACGACAATCTCCCTTCTCACCTTGTCATCTAGAACCAGGAGAGGAGAGATTAGCTGTGTGTAGGTGCAGTCTCTGATTGCTTGGGGAAAACACTGGAGAAGAGAGCACTTAGGGAGCTATGGGGAGCTGAGGACCCTCAGCCTCAGTAACTGCTCCATGGGGCAAGACCTACCAGGGATAAGCTGTTATGCTCATCCAAGTCTGTGCAGATCTTGTTTTCTCCAACAAAGAGTTAACCCCAACTTGCATGGTGTGATTTATTGCTGGCTCGCTCCTGACAGCCAGGCTGGTGGAGCGCCGGGTTCTGCCTCACCCTTCCGCTTCTCCCCATCCTCTCCCAGGTCACACAGCGAGTCGTCCACTCGGAGGTCCCACAGGCGCAGCAGCTGCAGTTCCCGGAGCGCCTCGCTCTCCTCGGATTACAGCGACTGCAAATTGACAAGCAGGTAAGCTGGGCTTGTGCCTGGTTTGGCCTCAGGTTTAGGGGTGGGGAGGCACAGCTGGGGGGGGGGAGAGCTCTTTAAATGGGACCAGTTGCGGATGGTTTTTTTCACTCAAAGAACATACAAGCAGAGCTTTGTGGTGTTACAAGTGCCACATATTATCCATTGTGCATTTGTTTGGAGTTGATCCTGCTTAGTGTCTTTGATGTCAAATGGTACACCTGTTTTAACATGGATGTTGTTGTAATGAATGTTCTTCTTACAGTCATACCTTGGGTTACAGACGCTTCAGGTTGCATTTTTTCGGGTTACGGACCACCGAAACCTGGAAGTACCGGAATGGGTTACTTCTGGGTTTCGGCGGCTGCGCATGCGCAGAAGTACTAAATCACACTTTGTGCATGCGCAGAAGCACCAAATTGCAACCCGCATGTGCGCAGACGCACAGACGTGGGTTGCGAACGTGCATCCTGCACGGATCACGTTCACAACCCGAGCGTCCACTGTATATATTTTAATTATGGGTGTTTCAATGTTTTACCGTGTATTTTAAGAACGGGTAGCTGTATTTTTATTACTGGATTTTGTTTTTATTCATGTTTCATAATGTTTATATATGGCTCAATTGTAAAAAAGGGGGGGACTTAAAGCAGTCTATAAAAAAGAATAAAGCAAGCAATCATTGGCAGAAGCAGTTTTTAAAAATAGAGTAAGTGATAGGCAAAAACCAGATCAAATCACATGCCGACATATCTGGGTAGGCTTGCCTAAACAAAAATGCATCTAGCAGGTGCCAAAGAGAGTACAATGAAGGCACCTGGCTGATGTCAAGAGGCAGTGAGTTCCAAAGTGTAGGTGACACTAAAAGGTTGACTGCTTACAAATGTGGAAGAGGTATTTTGTGGCACCCGTAACAGTGCCAGTTCCACAGATGAAAGCAGTCCAGTCGGTTTATATGAGGGTAATGTGATCTCACAGGTATGCTACTCCCAAGTTGTTTAGGACTTTTAGTTGTTACTAGAAGTAACACCTTGAACCTGGCCCAGTAGCAAACTGGCAGCTAGTGCACATCCTTGAGCGAAGGTTTTCTATGGTGTGAGGGTCTCACTCCTGTCAGCAATCATCCTGCAGCATTCTGCAGCTTCCAGATCAAGTGCAAGGAAAGCACCGATACAGCACATTGCAGGATTCCAGTTTTGAAGTAACCAATTAATGGGTAGCTGTATTTCTTTAATAGACCTTCTGGACATCCAATGAAGCTGAATGTTGGAAGATAAAAAGAAGGACTATGGACATTCCTCCTGCAAGAGGCAGTGATGGCCACCAAATTTTTGGGGGGGGGGGCTTCAAAGGAGGATTAGATAAATTCATGGAGGAGGATAAGGCTAGCTCTGCCTCCACAGTTAGAGGGGGCGATGCTTCTGAATACCAGTTCCTGGAAACTGCAGGAGGGGAGAGGGCTCTGGTGCTCGGATCCTGCATCAGGGCTTCCTACTGGTTGGCCACTGTGAGAACAGGATGCTGGTCTAGGTGGGCCACTGGCCTGATGCAAGAGGCTCTTATGTTCTTATATTGGCACAAGTTCCTCAGTGGGAGCTCTCCTTGGTGCTGAAACAACCAGCCTGCCTTTCCCTGTGAACTCTTGCACCAGATCAGAGCAGGATAGTTAAGTCTGGGTTCCATCTAGCTGTATTACATCCTTCTGCAGCAAAACCTACCTGGTGGCCTTACCCCCTATGCTTCCAATCAACTTGCTTGCTGGCTTCTGTTAGAGCAGTTGGTTGGCCACTTTGAGTAGAGGATGGTGGATCAGATGGGCTGGTGGCCTGATCCAGCAGACTCTTCTTATGTTCCTAATAGAGGTTCTTCTTCTTCGATTGCTGTTGTCCTTTATTTGTTTGGGAACTGCCTTGCTATTTCTCCTTGAAATAAAAGGGGATCTATAAATCCTTCTAAGAAATATAGCAACAATCTCATGGAGGCCTACATAGCTGCTGGCCAACCCTTTCTGTCCTCCCCTTTGTTTGCAGACTGAGTCCCAAGTACAGAGAGGATGCCCAGAAGGGCAGCAGCCACCAGTCCAGCCAGAGCCCCTCCTCCTCCTGTACCGGCCACAGCCGATCGGCCACGCCTCACCAAAACGGGCACAAGGGCGGTGCCCAGAACGGCCGCCATAGCCACGGCGCCCTCTTGGAGAAGAAACAGGAGGTATGGACCTTTTGGGTTTGCTTTTCTCAGGGTTCAATCCAACCCCACCTTCCCCAGCTGCCGCCGCCCCACCTTCCCTCCCCAGATCGGCTCTGCCCCATCTCACGTTGCTCCCTCCTCTTAGGCATTTTGCTCAAAGCGTGGCGGATGGGGAAGGCCTAAGGAGAAGATGTTCCTCCAAGCCAGGCTTTCAGGTGCTGCTGGACTCCAACTCCCAATAGCCAGCATGGCCAATGGTTGGGGACAATGGGACCTGCAGCCCCACAGCATCCGGAGGGCTGGGGGTTGCTCTGGAACTTCTCTCCCTCCCTCCTTCTCCATCTCTTTCCCCTCTCATCAGACACTCATGTGCTACATCTGCATTGGGGTAACTCGGTGGTAGAATTTGGGCTAGATTACCCTTTGGGTCCCTTCCAATTCTGAAGTTCCGTGAGTCCAGGAAGTACTTTGCTGAGATCTTTTTGAGGAGTAGCAATGAGGCAAAAATCCATCGTCAAATGTTTTCAGGTCCAAGGATTTGGGTCTGTATGCCAAAGGTTTCCATACTTCTCTTCTCTCCATGCTTTTATCACCACCTCTCACTGCCTGTTTGTGGTCTGCAGGAAAGGTCCCGATCCTGGCTATTGCTGGGAGTCTTTTTGCCTCTTTTTACCCACATGTAAGCTGTCTGAAGGCAGGAACAGGCTGCAGTTTGGTAGTAGAGCACACATTTCAGATCACAGGCTGAATCCCTGGCGTCTCAAAGATGCCTGCTGGAGACCCTGGAGAGCTGCTGCCAGTCAGTGTGGGCAATATTTAGCTAGATGGATCAAGGTCACACTTGGTTTAAGGCAGCTTCCTATGACTAGGAAGTGTTGCCCTCCATGGTTTAGCTTGACAACAGCGCCGTGCCTTTAAAGAGCAGAGATGGGGAAGGAATGGATTCAGTTTGTGTTTTAATGCAATATCACCTACAGCCAATTCCAGGCTTCCCCACCCTGAAAGCAGCCCTCACCATGATAAAAATGCTTCAAAACAAGATGAGTTCTTTCAGTTTAAGCATTCTCCATTAGGATTACCTCTCTCCATTCCCCTCCCCCTCCCCCTACTATTTTACCTCCAAATTTCTGAGCATCTTGAAAGGAAGGAATTCCTGGTACAGTCTTCACCAGAGAGTTTACTAGACCAATACACTCTAAGTTTATCCATTCCATTGTCTCTTTCTCCTCATCCGTCTCTTTCTCCCTCTTTTTTAAAAAGAAATTATAAACAACATATATACACATTTTTATTTATTTTCCTAACCATGTGATTCTACCTCTTTTTTCCGCACACCCCAAATCACTGTAGTTTGTTTATTCCATTATTCATCTCTATGTGAGCCTTTCCCCCTGCCCTGCCCCAGTTCAAAAAAAGGTGGCATTAAATGTAAGGTGAGGGCTCTGTGACCCCCCCAAGGGTGTTGATGGATTCTAACTCCCACCATCCCTGACCACTGGCCATGCTGGCTGGGGCTGATGGGAACTGTAGCTCAACAACATCTGGAGGAGGGCTGCATCCCTGCACAAAGTTTCCTAATCCAGGGATTGCCATACAGTGTGCCAGGGAAGGATGTGAAAGACACCAAGGAGTTGGTTGCAGAGGTTGCCTGCGTCTCTGCATGAGTCACCGTTCTGGTGTTGGGTGGATCATTTCCCCTGCCCTCGGACTCACTTTTCCCAAACTGACTTTGGAGTCAGTTACGGCTCCGGGCTTACATGTGTGACTGGATCCATCAGCACACTTGTGTCCTCTGAAAATTCACTCCCAGAACAGCAACTCACACAGAGGCGTCAGAGATGAGCACTCTTGTGAACGGGGGTTGTTTCCTCTCTCACACTCTAAAACGAGTCATACAGTGCGCTTCATGTCTCAGAAGTGTGGGAAACAAAGCAGGATGTATTTTAATGTTTCGGGAAATGAATAAAAGAGCCAGCTTTTCTCCAAATTCCCTGATAATACTCGAGTCAACACACGTTTCCTTTGGTTGTCAATTGCGGCTCCTGCTGTCCTGTGCAACTTTTATTTTATTTTTCATTTTTAATCCCAATCTGTGTTTTTCTTTAGCCTCCCGTTCGAAATGTGGTAATATAAAAGTTCAATTTCTTGCTCGGCAGAAATCAGGGGACTGGGTGGGAGGGCGACTGGGGTGTGCCTTTTGGATTCCTGCATTTTCTTTCTTGTTTTCTTCCCTTTTTGTAATGTACAGAAATGCAAACTATATCTTTCTCTTTTTCTTTTCCTTCCATTGTTGTCATGTGGATCTAGAAAATAAATATTATTTCTTCTGTTATTATCATTATTATTATTACTACAATTTTCCCCTTCCGTTTCGTTTCTTTGTGTGTGTAAGTGTGGAACCCTCCCGGCCAATTGAGAAATGCACAGACGTCTTTCTTTAGTTCTTTACAACCATTGAACTCTGTTGTCTGTTTAAATTTCACATTTAAAAGGGAAGATAACTGTGTAGTTTCCTTTTCCTTTTTTTAATATTATCTGCGGCAAAGCAGAAAGCTCCATTTCCCTCTCCCACAGAAAGTGGTGGGTTTGAGGTGGCTCAAATGAAACCCCCAAATGAATCTGGTGCTATGCCTGTAAAGAAAATGAGAAAATTATCCGGCCAGTTTGAAACTAGAATCATTATCATCTGTGCTATTTTTCTAGAAAAAGAGGTGTCTGAACTCACCATGAACACCTCCCTTGTTCTCTTATAATGGTGCCCACCTGAGAGGTGCCCGAACTGAAAAAAATCCCTGGTTATCATAATTATTATTTACTTGTGTCAGCCACCACATTTTAGTCAACGAACTATTTAGATTAAAAGGGAGTATTTTTTGCCCCCACTTAATCCATCAGAAGGCTTAAATCATTATTTTTTAATCTCAGTACTCTTAGTAAATCCCAGGTGGTTAGCAACATGTACGACGGGGTGGTAGATGTATCTAGACTACAATTCCCATCAACCCCAACAGCCAGAGTTGATGGGAGCCAGGTTAGGGTTCATGTTTAGAGTCCAGCGACTTCCGGAGGACCGCAGGTTCCCCATCCCTGATGTAAGACAAGGGTTTTCCTCTTGTGTGGCAGAAAACAGAGAACTTCTCCTAGCAGGGGCGCTGGCTCCTAGGGGCCAAGCCCTTTTGGATCCCCCCTATACTTTGGGGGTAGGGGCCGCCCCCCATGCCCTAAAAACATGGAACTGATCATAGTCCTCCTCCTCCTGCCGAAGAAGGAAGGAGGGTCGAAGCAGCTTCCCACTTGGCAGTGCCAAGAGAGGCAGAGGAGGAGCCGCATTTGGCTCCTCCCAACGTTCTGATGTCACACTCATGACGTCGGGACATTGCACATGTGACGACGACTCCTCCAATCCCAAGCTGGCGCCTTTGTCTCCTAGGAACACAGGAAGCTGCCTCATATTGAACCAGACCATTGGTCCACATAGCTCAGTATCATCGATGGGGATTGGCAGCACGTCTCCATGGTTTCAAGCAGGGTTCTTACTTCCTCATACATCCCATTCCCCGGGCCCATAGGAAATAAATTCTGCAGGCTAGGATGCAGGGGGAAAAGAAATAGTATCAAGGCCAACTCTGCCATTGAGCAGAGTGAGGCAGGCACCTCAGGCAGCAGATTTAGTGTCATGAAAAGGCAGCAAATTGCCAGTTGTTCAGTATTTTCTTCTTCTATTTTTACTGCCAGGTAATCAGGGGGGATGCTAGTGGGATATTCTGTCGCAGCTCCCAAAATAACTCTGCTGGCCTTGAGTACACTAGATACCTTGACTTTGACTTCTTCTTATTGATATTTAATTATTATATATAATAATAATAATAATATCAATAAAATAACTTTATTAGTGTGGTTTGTTTGTTTGTTTTTACAAAAGTCATGCAAAGTGACTTATCACATAATGAAGGCATATCTAAAAGACAATAATATTTTTAAAAGGCAGGATTAAAACATCCCATCCACTTGATGAGGCCAATGATGGCACCAGGAGAGCCTCCCTGAGGACAATATTGCGCAAGCAGGGGAGCCACCACCAAAAAAGCCTGTTTTCGTGTTGCCACCCTCCGGACCTCCCACATAGGAGGTACTTGGAGAAGGGCTTTAGGTGATGATCACAGGGTCTGGCAGCGAGTGGGCAGCATTTGCTTCTCTGCTTCAAAATATTTTGAGCTATCCCTGAGTAGAATCAAACTCAAATGAAGTTGACTTCCCTTTTAAAAAGGTGGTTTCAATTTTCATGCCATATTTTCATGCCGGTGGGCTTCCTTGGTGGTACTCTATATCTATTTCTCTCTCTCTCTCTATTTCTCTCTCTCTGTTTCTCAGCTTCTTTTTCCTCCTCCTCCTCGCCCTCTCATGTACACACTTTACAATTTCTCCCTCTTTCAACGGGGCCCCTTCTAGCTTATCCCAATACAAACAGATTCCCGTCCCCACCCCCCAACTTGACATTTTCTGCCTTCATCCGCTTCCTTTCTTGCATGATCTTTGGGACTTTTTTTTTCCTTTCAAAAATATTTAAATGTTACAGAGAAACTTTTTAAATTGTTTTATTTTCCGATGGCTGCCGCTATTTAGACAACTACTGGTTATCCATATGCATATAATTTTTTTTATTTAAAAAATAATGAAGAATGATGGCTGCCTGAATTGACCAAGGCCACGTTTGCACCATAAATTTAAAGCAACTATCACACCACTCGGAATGGTTGTGGCTTCCCCCAAAGGATTCTGGGAACTGTAGGTGTTGGTTAAAGGTGATGGGCGTTTTTAGGAGACCCCTGTTCCCCTCACAGGGCTACAATTCCCAGAGTTCCCTGTGAAGAGGGATTGATTGTTTGACTTCTCTGGAAACAGTAGCTCTGTGAGGTGAACGGAGGGGCTCCCAGACAGCCCTTAACAAAATACAGCTCCCAGAATTCCTTGCGGGGAGCCATGACTGTTTAAAATGGTACCATAGTACACTCTGTGAGGGGAATAGGGGCCTCCCAGCAACTCTCAGCAGCCCCATAATGAACTGCAGCTCCCAGAATGCTTTGGGGGAAACCATAAGTCTTTGAATTGGTACCATAGTGCTTTAAATTTATGGTGTGAATGGGGCCTGAAATCCAAAGTGTGGTCAAAGCAAAGCAAAAGTTGATTAGCAAAAGGGGTCTGAAGCACGTTACTAAAGAGTCGTTGTCTTTTTCCCCATTCTGCCCTCCAAATGTGGAGATTACCATTTCTTTTTTTATTATTGCATTCCTCACCACTCCGAAGGTAGGTATTTCTCTCCCTCCGCACGTTCACTTCTACAGATCAGCCTGTTGAAAAGCACCGTAGTTTGATTAAATGTGATTTTTTTCTATCTTCTCTCTCTCTTTCTTCCTCTCTCTCTCTTCCTCTCTCTCTCTCTGTCTATCTCCTAACGCTTGTCTATTTTTGGTGGCTCTGTACAATTTTTATTTATTTTCTTACAATTAGCTACAAAGTCATGCTTCTCTTATCCTTTTTCCCCCCCATGGAAATTTATTTAATTTCTTTAAAAAATAATAATCCTTGTTCTGTTGTTAGAATGCATTTCTGTGTGTTTTTTCTGCTCTTCGATCTTGTGTTTGTTTCCATAAATGGTACAGTCATATCCAGCTGATTTGATTTCCTTTTTGTGATATTATTATTATTATTATTAAGACGGCTTACTATGCAAGCCATTTAATTGTTATTGCCAAAGTAAAATCACTAAAGCGGAGGGAGACTCTCCATACAATTGGAATTATCCTTCCTCTGCCTTGATCACATGGGTGGTTATGAGTTTTGTAGATGGTGTTAAAAAGACAGTTCCAGTTCCAGTGGTCACTGAATTTTGGCAGCAAAATCCTCTCTCTCTATACAGTCATACCTCGGAAGCTGAACGGAATCTGTTCCAGAAGTCTGTTTGACTTCTAAAACGTTTGGGAACCAAGGCGCGGCTTCCAATTGCTCCTGCAGCCAATCGGAAGCCGCAACGGACGTTCAGGTTCCAAAGAACATTCACAAACCGGAATAATCACTTCCAGGTTTGCAGCATTCGGGAGCCAAAACGTTCATCTCGCAAGGCATTTGACTTCTGAGGTACGACTGTATATACACTGAGCCTTTATCTATAGACAACAGCATCCAAGGGGATTTCGACGGAAGTGAAAAGATGTTTAAAATGACATTGAATATATACAATCTAAGGAAGATGGTGGTGTTGGTTTGCAGTACAGTATGATCATGTCTTACAGACTTCTAACTTGCATGATTTCAACCATACGAAGATGGAGGCCTTTAGTTGAAAGTTAAATGCATGCAAGGCATACAAGCTCTTTTTGTGCTGGGAAAACCCAGTGCAAAAAGAGCTTTTAAGCTCTTTGCAAGGCCCTCTGAGTACACCAGCTCTGGAAGCCACCGGATGCTCGTTCAGAAGCAGTTCCAAGGGTTCACGTACATGCGCTTTTGCATATATGTGGAATCCACGCATCCAAACACCCACATAAGATGTGATTGTACTGTACATAATCTGGGAAGCGGGAGGCACTGAAGTTTGAGATTTGTGGCTACTGTGGAGATTCCTGTAGGGCCAAAGAGCAGGAAGAACTTATAGAAGAGTTTGGATTTGATATCCCGCCTTTCACTCCCTTTAAGGAGTCTCAAAGCGGCTAACATTCTCCTTTCCCTTCCTCCCCCACAACACTCTGTGAGGTGAGTGGGGCTGAGAGACTTCAAGAAGTGAGACTAGCCCAAGGTCACCCAGCAGCTGCATGTGGAGGAGCAGGGAAGCGAACCCGGTTCCCCAGATTACGAGTCTACCGCTCTTAACCACTACACCACACTGGCTCTCAGTGTGGTGTAGTGGTTAAGTTCTTATGAGAACTTCTTATGAGAACTTATTAGAAGAAGATCAGGCAGTCCCCTTTCCTTACCTCTGCAAAGTGAGGAAACTGGTAGTGTGTAACGCAAAAGACTTTGAAAGAAATATTGAAAGCTCCCCCTGTCCCCAGAAAGGCCACCTGGAGAGTGACTGCCTAATTCCAGTGACCTTCCACCACTGGGACTGTGTTATTTGCAAACTGGCTATATTCCAGAAAGTGGTTTTTATGTCATGTGGAATAAAATGTTGTGTAGAAGCTCAGACATAATGCGTAAATTAACAGTTAGGAAAACAGCAGGAAAATGGAATAAACTGACCTGTGAGTGTATCCTGCAACTCACTGCCCAACAGTACGATCAGCAATGCTGGTTTTGGGGAAAAAATATTCTGCACTTATGGAGCTCCGCAGCTTATTCCCATTTGCCCCATCCAGGTGGCTAGTCAAGCCAATAAACACTGGACTTTGGACAATGGATATCAGAAATCTGTTCCTGGTATTGGTGCAACCCTAAAAGTTCCCAGAGGCTCTACAGCTTCTGTAAGACTTATAAGCTGCACAATGCTTCCAGACCACATACATCCCATGCATTTAGACTTAGTACCATAGAGTTGGAAGGGACCCAAGGGTCATCTAGTCCAAACCCCTGCAATGCAGGGGTCTCAACACATAGCTCCCTCATCCAATTTGAAACCATACTGGACCCTGCTTAGCTTTGCAAATGTGCTAGCAGTTTTATGTGACCTAAAGCATTATGATTCCAATTTGAACAATCGTGGCTTTCCCCCAAGGAATTCTGGGAGCTGGAGTGTGTTAAAGGTGCTGAGAGTTATTATGAGGCACCGATTCCCCTCACAGAGCTACAGATTCACAACCAGTCCCTCTTTGCATGGAACTCTGAGAATTGTAGCTCTGGAACTGTAGTCATTCATTTAAGACCTCCCACAAAATGTACCATATGGAGTCTTCTGTCCATGTCAGAAAACGTGCAAAAAAAAAGTCACCACTGATTCCAAATCAAATCTTTATGGTCAACAACCCGCATTAAAGAAGCAAAATAAGAGGCATTATCCAGATGTGTCTATTAGGATGAAATAGGATAAAATGAAACCCTTTACCTGAATGGCCCCCTGTCCCTGTCTCTTGAGGTAATTGACCTGGTAAACCAAATTAATTGGGTCAGGCCCCAGGCTGTGATTATGTCCTCCAATCCAGAGTTACTCAAGAGAGACATTGACTGG